GTACAGCAGTTAGAGCTACAGGTAAAATAAAATTTATTTTAATATTACCTCAGTATTAATCAAATCCAATTCTTGACAGCAATAAAAAATGAGTTCTGCTTTTCCCCCTGTGATTGAAAACCAGCTTTCAAAACCTTCTTGTACTAGTTTTAAAAACCATCAAAAGAAACTGCAACTTCATTTCCTTTTTCCTAAACCATAACTTGCAAAGAAATAGGAAACTTACCCAGGCTGACTGATTGGAAAGCCATCAGTTTGTATCTAATGCTTTTATACCCACCCGGGGGGCTGGAGGAGGGCAAGGGGAATGTGGTCCCCTTCACTTGGAAATGGTTGATGTTTATTTCCAAACGCTGCATGACCTGGCTTGTTTGGTGGTCTTTCATGTACTAATACTCTCCATGTATTATTATTATTATTATTATTATTATTATTGTTATTATTATTATTATTATCACCTTTTTTTTGCCATTTATAGAAAATGATTTTTTTTTTGCAAATTGCCAAAAGGGGGTAAATTGGAATATATTGATTGTGATGCGGAGGTATGAGCTGTTTGTGTAATTACCTTTCCAAATGCTTCTGAGTCCTTTCTGTCTCCCTGCACCTTGCTGCTCTGGCTGGGTGGCTGTGACAGTGTGTCTGTGTGTAGGCAAGAGGTTAGCAAAGAAGGGGAAATTAAAACAATGTTGTACATTATATAGTTACCAGCTATTGAAAAACCTATTTTGTATGCAAGACAGCAGTGTAGAGATATATGGAAAGCCTTGGGCTAAGTACAGAAGATAATTACATTTGGAATTTTACTGAGTTAAGTCATTTATAGCTTCAAATAGTTGGAGAGAAAAATCAGCAAAACCACACTTAAACTTCTTGTTGTTACTTTTCAAGATAAGCATTTTTTAAAAAATGCTTTTTATCTTCTTATCTTACAAATTACCCTTTTTCTTTCATAGATATTTCCTAAATTTTACTTTCAGGAGCACTCTGGTCATGACACTCTTTCACTATTAGCTGAAGCAATATAAACTATTTTAATACAAGTTTTAAAAAAATCAAACTACCAGTCATAAAATATCAGAGTCTTGCAGAAAATGTTATGAGAAATAGTCTGTTATTTTAACAAGTTTCTGGGGAATTAGGAAAAGAAAAATAAAAATCTACAGTCTTCCTGGTAAACTGAGATATGAGATAATCATTCACCAAGGTGCAGTAATACTGAGGCTGAAGGTAAATCTGGATTCTTCAGTTACAGTCAGCTTGAAAAGCATTAATCCTTCTCTCCCACAGTCACTGGGAATGGCTGTGCCTGGAGCTACAGGAGGATGCACTGTGTTAGACAGGGACAGGGCAGAGAGACTTGGTTCCCACCTCTCCCTAAGCCCATGCCAATGTTTTTGAAAGGTTTATCAGCAGTGCATTCTGCTAATTGCTCTAAATGACATACAGTTACAGTTTTACACCCATTTGGTGCTGCCAATGCTCAGAGTCATTGCAAGGGAAGGCAGCATAAGGTCCACAAGACAAGACCATCATTTCAAAGTGGTCTGAGGCCAGAAAGTTCTGGATTTAACAGTCACAGGAGCAGGGTAGGTAGGATGAACTAAAGGCCTAATTTGGGCTGCAGTGTTGGTAACAGTGAGGCATTTCTGCATTGGCCAGCAAGGACAGCTGGAGGAGGAGGAGGAAGGTGGTCCAACTTCTGAAATTCACCTGTAGCTTCTCTCTTCTCCCTCTCCTGTCATCCTGTATCAGTCCTCTGATAGTTCAGAAAAGACCCTAATTATGTGGAAGGATTTGCCCTCCAGTCCCTAGTTTGTCTGGCTGTGGCCTGTTTTTGCACAGAACCAGAATAAAACAGTAGCATGGAGTGGGGTGTTCAGTGACGTGGTCCGAGGACCACTGAGCTGATCCTGAGGCTGTGGAGCAGTTACCTACAGAGCGATGACAGGCCCTCTGCAGACTGAGTTTTGTGAGTTAGATAGAATAGTCCCACAGCCTTTACCCCTGATCTGCAGCACTGGTGGGCAGCTTTGCCTTGCAGTGCAGGTGGGAATTACCAGCTTCAGGGTCCAGCACCAGGGCAAGATCTACATTCCCCATCATTTAATGCATGTACAGTCCATCAAAACAAATTCATTTAACCTCAGGGATATACTTCAGGTTTTGAGTGTGATGGATCCAAATGCTATCCTTTGGTTGTTGTTGATTTTGCTGTTATTTTACTCATGATAGTTTTACCAGTGTAAGCGATAAGTGTAATATCTTCTAAAGTAATTTTTAATCAAAATTCTGGAAACAAACAGGTCAGATCTGTTTTGTGTTTGATTGCAAATGCTCCTTAGCAAAAATCTTGAAGTTTGGTCTTAGCATTTCCATCACAAACATATTTCAAAAATCCCAGGCAAGATAGACATCTTCTCACATTTTGCTTTGTTTAAACCATCTTGACAAGATCATTTTTTTTGCCATTATAAATAGTGAAAATCATGCTGTTGAGTAAAACACAAACACAGGAACATACCCATATCCTTAGCTAGTTGTTAGCTGGAATAGGATATCCATTTTGCTACCTTTGAGTGGGAAAACATTGCAGGATAGCAACAGGGCTGTGATGAGTCTAGAAAAGTGTCTCTTATTGGAAGAAGACGAAGGCAGCTGGCCATTTTCAGGGCAGTGAAAACACTGCTTGGGTCTGTTTTCCTGCAGCATCCATTGACACTCTAGAAAAGCAGATTCTAAACCTTTCTAGTGCACAGTCCAAGCAGGCACGGAATGGGAGGGCTGTGTTTTGGCTGCCTCTTGCACTGCCTGTGACTGGCTTCCTTCCCCTTTGTCCCTGGTCTGTCCAAAATTCTGCTGCTGAAGTGCTCTCCATTCCTCTTGAATGCCCTCACTGGATTTTCATTTTCCCATTCCTGATTCTTGCCTTTATTTTATGTCTGGTTTTCCTCCCGTACAATTTCTCCATCATCTGTGTTTCTAATGCCTTTCCTCTTGCTCCTTGGTCACTGCCTTGTCTGGAGCCCCTTCTGACCTGTGCTTTCTGTGCTTCCCTCTCCTGCCTTTCCTTCTGGTATAGTTTTAGGATTTAACCTCTCCAGGGTAAGCTGCTTGTCTTGGTGTCCACATTTGCAAGGCTTGTACCTAACTCTGGACATATTTCTGGTGGAACCATAGTTAGGCACTCACATTGTACGTCCAGTGGTGAAAGAAGTCTTACAAAATCAGGCTTATCACAGAGAACTGGATGGCTGTCTGAAAACTCCCACCATGCAGAGCTTTCCAAATGCATATAGGAAGGAAGAAGGAAGCTTCAGATGGGACTGTGTTGTGTTCCTCAGGCCCATGTGCAGAGCAGATTCTTACCTCCATATCAGAACTGTCCCTGCCCAACAACATTATCAGTAGATTAAGAGCATTTTCTTGCCTGTTGACTATTAATTCCCATTTCTGGACCATCTACACTCCAATGATTGCCACCAGTGAGAATTTGCTTCCACCAGTGGCTGAGCAATCCCCCATGGCTTCTTTTGTTTGACCCCACTGACCAGAGGGGCTACTAGTGACACTCTAGTTTTATATCACTACTGCTTCCTGACCTAGGGGAAAAACAGTTTAAAGAAATTCTTCAGATTTTTTTACTTCTCTTCAGTGCTTTGAAACCGAGAGACCTCTATTTTTCATAATTTAAACTCCTGCCTAACTGGGTGAGTGTTTGAATTCCTAGACTATGACAAAATGCTAGCGTGTGTCTGCCTGAAATGTCGAGAGGATCTTTAATAACCTCCATCCACCAGATTCGGCGTTAAAAGCATTGCTGAGACGATGAGTGGAAACACTACAAACAAGGACCCCGGCGGTGGGAGGGAGGTGCTCCTCTCCCTCTCCCCTCTCCCTCTCCCCTCTCCCTCGCCACGGGGGCCGGAGGAAGCGCGGCAGGGTGTGCCCTGCGCTGCCCAGGTGCCATCCCCTCCTGCCGCCGTGCCGGGCTGGCAGGAAGCTCTCAGGTGCCTGCCTTTTATTTATTTTGGCTACGAGATGTTGTTCTTCTGCAGTAGCCTGCAGACCAAAATTTAATGCACAGATGACCCCGCCAAGCAGCCCGTGTGCCCGGAGACTGCTAGGAATGAGGGATTGCACAACTGGGCTGCGCGGAGAGCTCAGCTATTTCTTGGCTTAATTTGTTTTGTATGAAGCACAGCAGCTGAGGGTGAGCCCTCTCCTTTCTCTGGAGAGGTTCTCAGAGGGAGAAGTTCCTGCTGCAGCACTGAGATAAGAGCCTGTCGCTGCCCTCAGCTCTCCTGTGAAGTGTCCAGCTCAGATCAGGATGAGATTGCCGGAGATCTGCCGTAGGTGTCAGGTTTTCTCTCTTGCCATTGAGGTTTTTGACCAAAAGAAGAGGAGCCATTTGAAAAGTGCAGTGATACTGTTTTTTCCCTTTATTTCATTCCTGTCTTGGAAACTCCAGTGCCAGGTTTTATCCCATCATGGCACAGTCTCAAACCCTTTGCCTTGCAAAGAGCAGGACAACCTGGGCCATAACGCTATTAGTGGGGATTTATGATCAAGTCTCCTTTTATATACACTTAGCCCCACTTTACTGCTACAAACAGATGACAGTGATAAGGTGGGCAGGTTGTTCTAAGTTTTGTTGGAATGTGGGCACAGTTCTTCTCTTGGCTCCAGGAATCTGGCTTGTCTAAAGCAAAAATTAAGCTCTGCAAGAACTGGTATTTGTAAGAACCTGATTCAGATCCACTTGGAAGCAGCAACCTTTATGTTCAGTGTGCAGATTAACAACACCCCTTTTTCATTAGCATTCTTAATATCTTTCTTTCATTAGTATTTCTTACTATCTTTCTTTTATTTTTTTAATTCTTCAATTTTGTTTTTTTTTTTTTGAAGAGCAGCTGGAAAAAAATTCCCATTCACACATTGAAAAAAAAGTTTCTTGTTTCCAAAAATAATGAAATTTAGTGTCTGTCCAGTGCATTGAAATGCTCTGGGAAGCTGACCAGGCTATGGGTGCATACCAGTGATCCAGAGACTCCAGCTGTGTGGATCTCAACAATAAAATGCAAGAGACCTTGAGAGCAGGGGCTTCACCCCAAATCTTGGGCCTGAAATGGCTGATGCAGAAGGATGACAGTATGAGTCCAGTGGCATTGGGTGCCCAGGGATGAGTGTTTAGGGGTGATTACTGCTGCTTTCAGCAGGTCCTGCCCCATTCTCAGGGTGGCCCTGCTCAGGTGCCCAGCCTTGCTTCCAAAAGTGACCCACCAAGGGCTCTGCCACATTCTCAAGTCACAATCAAGGTGCTTTTGGACCCAAGGATGCCTGCAGAGCCCTGTGGAGGTGCCTTGTGTGGTTAGCCACCCCTGGCTGTGCTTATTGCATGTGCCACAGTGCCTATGGTTCATGCAAAGCCACAGCCCATCTGTGCCACTTGTTCTGTGCTCTGAGAGAAGGAAAACACATGCTAGAACCGCTGCCTTGCTTTCCTTCTGCTGTGCCTCCCGAGCTGGAGTGGGGCTGGTTAATAAACATGATTCACTGTTGTCTTTTAGCTGTCAGGGCTGGAGTGAAGCTCTTGGTGCCAGCAGGTCTAGCTCTTCTCACTCGAGGGCTAATGCATTTTGCTTTGGGAAATGGTGACACCCAGCACCACGCATTCGCTTTACCTCACGAATAGCCCATATACAATTTCCAAACTACTCAGCAATAAAACTCTTCTGTCTCATGCCTTGGTGCCAGCTGTTTAATTAGGAATAAGCAGAGGCTGGGTTTTATTTGTACGACTAACAGAGGATTTTTTTTTTCTCTCCCCTTCCAGCTTGCAAAAGATAAAGAGCGCCTGCAAGCCATGATGACACACCTGCATGTGAAGTCAACTGAACCAAAAGCCACCCCTCAGCCCGTAAGTACTGAACTGTGCTGAAAGCATAATCCAAACCTCACAACAAACCTCTCCTTCCTGTTCCCCAGTGGAGCCCACGCTGTGGAGCATGGCCCATTTCAGAGCCGGGTGTGGGGAGGAGATGGGAAGTGCAGCCGGGTTTTGTCATCCCCCTCTCTTCAGGGACTTCCAAAGTCAAGTTTGGTTCCAAAGCTGATGTGTTGGGCCTTTTTCTGGCCTCATGTTATTCTCTTTGCATCAGTCTGACTTGGATGAAATCTTAGGAAGTGTTAGGAAGGAGTTGTAATTAAATTATATGTAGTATATTTATTTTGCTTTCTCCCGGTCTGACAGACATTTACTGTAGAAGTGACTCTGACTGCGCGTTCTGATGATAATCACGGTTACCCGGTATCAGGTTATATACTGTTGAAACTTAGAAGGCAAACCTCCTCTACCCCAGATTGCTCTTTGAAGAAGGGGGAGTAGGGGAAGTAAGTGGCTTTGCAGCCCAAGAAAACTCCTGGTTACCCCCAAACCCAGGAAGATCCCTCATCTCCTTCCCTGACTGAAATGACTCTTCTTCAGCTGTTGTTTTCTATCAGCCTCTTAATGCTGAAAATGTTCCTGGGAGCTTCCAATGATTATTCAAAATGGAGAGAGTGCTTTGCTTCTTGATTTTAAGATTTGTAAGATTTAAAGGTACACTGGCTTTATTTGATTTTGCTTTGAGTCATTGTGTGAAAATTAATTGAGCGTTGACAATCTATAGTTAGTACCAGCAATTTTAATCAATATGCAATGATGCAGCATAATGACAAAGTATTGGTTTATCTGTTTTGACTGATTTTTTTTCTATAAATAAAGCAAACACACACCCATATATGTGTGATTTACGGTGATAGAAATAAAAAGGAGTCAGACTATTAACCCAGCAAATATGGTAGCCTGCCAAGATGCAGTTGGTAGACAAAATTAATGTCTGAAACAGAACACATTACAGAGATAGAGAACATAAAATCATTAAACACTTCGCGCACACATTTTTACTAGAAAAGGATTTCTCAGTTTCCATGTAGTTGGAAATAAATGGCTGCAGAAGTGCATAGGGAGGCTACTAGTTAGAAAATTGCTGGCTATTCAGTAACACTGGAGCAGATGTCATAGTCAACGGAAAACTTTCTTGTCTTTTTGGAGAGAGTTGAGTGGTAGGTACAAACCTTCCATTTAAACTGTTGAGATGCTTAAAATTGCTTGGTCTGGTGGACACCAGCCCTCTAGAGTAGAAACTACTGGCAGTGTCTATAAAAATAGCATTCTTCTGGTTCCTCACATCCATCCCAGCCCAAATGCAAATGCTTCAGCGCATTGTTGGCAAAGTGAGTAGACCCAACAGAATGGGGAGGTGGTTTGGTTTCTGTAGCTCTTACTGGATTAAAAATTAAAACAGCGGAATAATCTGGGAGTCTCAAAGCACTCTGCCTTGAGGCCTTTCATAACAGCAGTGCCCCTCAGGAGGAAGGATTACAAACTGAAGGGAGGAAATCATCAGAAGGCGAGCGGTGTTTGGCAAGGCTGCTCGTGATCGATGCCGGGCCGCCGAGGGCACGGAGCTTTGGAGGGTCTTGTAGACTGAGGAGATACCAGGCGGTGTTGCCATGAAGATTAGTGTTAACAGCTAATAAACAGGGAAAAGCAGAGGAAAAAAACCCATGAACACAGGGGGAAAAGGGCTGTCTTGATTAGTATTAAAAATGTTTTACATTCTGGAAAATTATAGCTTTGTTGGGGACCTCCTACTAAATTTATTTTTAACTGCTCTATTGAAAATTCTGTACCACTAGTCAACATTATCTCTCAGTTGCTCAGCACAGTGTTTCTTTATTAAAAGAAATAGGCATGAATATTTTTGACTGAAAAATTAATAGCTTTTGAATTCATACACAGCAGGTTTTCTTTTGCAAAGAAGTCCAATATCGCTGCACAGCACTTCTATAACCATTTATTTAGAGTCCAAGTCAAACCTTTGACAGCTAGAGCAGTGTTACAAGCCAACATAAAGAACTCCAAGATGTAAACCAACAATAGGCAGTCTGTGTGAGGTTTGCCATTGTCAAATACATAGATTGTTTGGATTAGTTTATGTAAATGTACTGTTGTATTACCCTTTGGAAAAAAAAAGATCACATTTGTGTATGAAAAGTGGTTTCGTTCACAGGCAGCATTATAAATTCCTTATCCTTTAACTTACATGTTAGAAGTAAAAATTGGTGCCTGACAGGCCTATATTGTGCGGCACTCTGTTGTTGGATTGAAACTGCCTTCTTTTCATTTATTGAAATATAGAAAAATTTATTATAGATACCATCTGATAAATCAGAAATTATTAAAATATGTATAGGTGAAGCATTTGAAAATTAATTATAAAATGTAGAAGTATAGTGTTTTGCATAAATTGTGCTTTCCTAGTGAAAAAAATACACAGGCATTGCATAGACTCTGCTAGACCCTCGTCCTTTTAACTCAGTGGGATAGGGCTTTGGTAAAAAGATCTGATGACCATTATTGCACTGCAAAGTAGTCTTTACATCCAGTAATTAATTTTTTTTTCTTGCCAATGCAAGGTGTGTGTTAGAACTAATATATTACAGTGCTTCGGTGATTTTAAAGGAAAAAACTACTGCAAATCCAAACATAGCAGTGAGTTGGGATTTAAAATTATAGCCTTTTCGTGACTGAGGAAATGTTTTTATTCTGCTTAAAGGATCTTAATGCTTGTTTTAAACTATTTTGTTACTGGCAGGTAATAGAGTGCATGAGCATCTGCATTAACCATGCCATGTGTAATCCACGCTGACCACTTGTGCCATCTTTGCCTTTTGGGCTTCAGACAATAGTTGAGTGTGGTGTTGAACCATTTGGACCACAGCCAAGTTCTTGAGGGTTGTGCATCAATTCAAAACTCACCCAGCTCTGCTTGTCTGATTTAGCCGTGTCCATCCATCCCATCCCCATCTTGGGGTGTCTTTAGCTGTTTGCAGTAATTCTGAGCTTGGGAGGGGTGGTGGAATGGCCCCTGCATTTCAGCCCACCAAGGCATCTGCTCAGTAAAGCTCTGTAGTCCTACTAAAGTCGATGAGATTTAAACACATTCCTGTGTGGAGTAGTGGTGATGGCCCAAATCATTGGCAGACTGCGTGGGCAGGGAGGTGCTGTCAGCGTCTGCTGCTGCTCTCCAGGGGCTGCTGGGCAGACACAAAGAGGTCTGGGGTGCAGGGGAACATCCCAGGAACTGGTGCAGTGCTCAGGATGACCTTTAAGAACACCCAGCCTTATAATGAGAATGCTCAATGGCAGCAGTTTAAAACAAAACAGAGCTATCTCAGAGCTCAGAACTTGGAGTAGGCACCGTTGTTCCCCTCCGTGCTACATGTGTTGTTTTGGTGGGACTGAGGGGCCTGAGTAACGTGAGATCAAAGCCATGAGACAGAATAAGCTGTGTTGTGTTTTGGTAAGGTGAACTTTTTTCAAGGTAAAAAAAACAAAACCACAACACAAAAGCCGGAACAGCGATTTCTCAAGAACTGTCATCCTGGTTTTGCTATTAAGGTACCCCCCCAACATGCTGTTTTCATCGGTGTTAGCCATCAGCATAATAGGTTCAAATGGAAATGTGCTTTCTTCTGGGAGGATTAACTTGTGTCGAAGTTCATAGGAAGGGAAGGAGAAGGAAAAAGCATCAACCAACAAGTAATTCTTCACACTAGGTGCTATAACTATCTTTTAAAAATAGACCAAAAACTTTTAAAGGCCCTTCTGGCACTCTAAATAAGATACACTGTTAGATATCCCCTCTTTAATGTATTTTTCTTGCCATAACCATAGCAGTTATGATTGTTTTGAAATACTGTTTTTAGCAACTGTAATAACAAAGCATTAAAAAAAAAAAGTCTTTTAACTGTTGAGGTAATGACTGAGCATTTTAGCTGTTGTAGCCATACTTTATAGTTTGAAAAAATAACGATATGCAGCAATAAAGAGAGATTCTCAAGCACAACAAAAGCTGTTTTTATATACTGGTTTTCATTAAGTCTCACTCCTCAGCTTCAGTTTCCTTAGTATTCCTGCCAATAACAACACCTGCTAAGTGATTGCTGCCTGCCAGGCTCTGCATCCAACACACTGATGTGTCCAGGCTGAAACAGGGAGAGGAAGACACGGCACTGAACAAAGTTGTAGGCCCAGTGTTCACTTTCTGTCTCTCACCCTCAATGTCAAGAAAAGGAATTTCTTCTCCAAAGTAATTCAGTCCCAGGAGCTCCATGCAGATAAGTCCTCAGCCTCAGATGGGCCCAGAGCAGCAGCACCCATTGCAGGGGAGTCACTGGGTATGGCCTCACTGTGACCCTTAGAATCTTTATTTATTCCTTTTTTAAAAGAGTTTCATTGCTATTTTATGTGCAGCCAGTATTGTAATGTAAAATATTTATGCAAAAAGAATTGGACTTAGTGCTAGTGGGAGAGTCACTAACTGGAAATCTATTTTTTTAAACTGGGTAATAGTGTGGGTTGCCTCTGCCTTGTTTATATCTAAAGAAAAAAAGCAAATGACTCAGTTTTCACCTTTAATAGGGAGACATGACTATTTCTTGAAAGGGAAGGTTAATAATAAAGTCCTAAGCAGGATATTGAACACTGAGACAATTATGGAAGTTATGAATGACCAACAGTATGAGGAAATATCCTCAAAATCCAGAACTGAACAAAGCAATCAACAAAGTTCAGTGATTTAACTTGCAGAATTTTAAGACTTAACAACTGTTGTGAGATTCGGTATGTTTTCTATTGGGGTTTTTTTTGTTGGGTTTTTTGGGGTTTTTTTTGGGTTTTTTTGTGGTTTTCTTCTTTTTTTTTTGTTCTTTAATTATTATTTTTGGGTTTAGTTGTTTTTTAAAGGCTGGAGGAAATCCCTTCTCCCCCCATTCCCAGGAAAATATTGCAAAAACATTTTAACTCCTTGGTGTAGTGGTGAGCTCTGAGTGCCCACATTGCTGCAAGTTCTTGCTTGTTGAAGTGCTCACTCTGTGGCTTGGGCTCCCTCCCCTCTGCCAGCAGGGATACTCATCCAAAAATTACGGTATGTGGGAAACAGCCTGTGTACAAAATACCAATGCGAACAACTTTTCTAATCATAGCAACTTGTTTTTAAATAGCAAATGCAAACAGGCAGAAACCATGTAGAGTTTCCATCAGGAAAAGAAACCCTCCCAGCCCAGTCCCTCCCTGATCTTTGCCCTGCACAATCATCCACGGCTGTTCCACGTTTCTAATTGACGCCAATATTAAGATTTAATAGTTTACCATTCAGATTAATAATTCAAGATGGCAACAAAACCAACACCATTCATAATTTGTTATTCTGCTCTAGTTCACAACCGATTTTTCAGCCTTAGCGCTATCGATGCAACAAAGGAAGCGGCAGCGAAAGGCTGCGGAGGGAGTGCAGCCCTCTCCTCCCTCACCCTGGCTCGGGTTTGGGGAACCCAGCTGGAAGAGGAGAGTGTCATCAAATAAAACACGGAAAACGGAAAAACTTCGCTGGCGATGGACAAGGTCGTGTTTCATTAACTTGTTGGTTCAGGCTCACAAATGGTCGTCGGAGGTGAAACGCGGCAGACTCACTGCGTTCCAGCTTTTTGTTCTCTCTTTCCTCACAGACTGCAGTCATGTTTAATTTGGAAACTGGGCTCCTTTGGCAAATTAGCAATTAGAACAATTTTGTGGGAATATGTATATGTGTCATTAGGTTTCCTGCAAATTAATAGCGAGAGCAGAGGTCAGGCAGAAATTTTCCACTTGACTGCAGCTCCTCTGTTGAGATTTGGCACTTTGTTTTGGAACGGCCACAGCTGCTCAAAGCCACAGTCTTCCTTTAGGAACTGTCTTTTAATTAGTTTACCTCATAGCCATTATTACAAATATTACTGCCTCCCCTCCTTGAAATAAAATTACTGTTTCTACAAAATATTCCGGTGACATCTTGCACCACTGCACATTGATGGTGGGGTCACTTGGATGCAGCGTTTAATCATTAGATCACCTCCATAAGCATCTCCTAATTAGAGTCCTTACAATACAATTTTATCTGGTAATTAGCTGAGATTGGCTGCTTCCTCTGTAGCTTATTAGTGGCAGCCCAGCAGTGGGTGTGAATCACAGTGTCATTTGTCAAGCCTGTTAAAGCCCCCCTCTTTGCTCGTCCTCTTCTGTGTTTATTCCTCGTCGCTACCTATGCTGTAAAACCTAAAGAAATCTGACTCGATTCAGATTCTTTAAGCAGGGAATGCTGACCTTTGTGGATCCTTTCTCAAGCTTCCCTAGTAGAAACAGATTAAATGTTAAGTTTTTACATGCTGAAAAAGGAAGGGGGCTCTTTTGAAATGGAGTAGTTGGGAGCCATAATGATGAAGCAGGAGCAGTGATCTTTCCAACAGGAGGGCCCGGCTGCCGAGCCTGCACTGAGAAGGGCACTTAAAATTGATGCAGATTCCCTCACAGTTACCGGACTGTTAAAATGTCCATTTAGAAACTGAGATAAAATACAGTAGATGTAATTTCATGGTGAGACCTGTCAGTTGCACTATTATTATCATCACTGGTCCTTTTATCATATGTAATAGATGGATAGATGGATAACAGGGAGACATTACTATATATATGTCCCTAATCAGTGTCCTTAAATCAGGCCAGTCAGCGAGCTGACTGGGTGGCACATGGTGGCAATGCATGGCACCAGGGGAGTTTAAACCTCCAGACTGCAGGTAGTGGTTCATGCTGGAGCTGGGATCAATACCTGCATTTCACCACCTTCACCATCCCTCTCTGTGTTCATGCTCCCTGTCTTTGCCACAAAGTGTTAAATATTTCCCACTGGAAGGCAAGGAGTCATTTATAAGCACCTGCAGGGAAAGATGGGTGTTTGCAATTCTGCTGCTCACCACCTCCTTCCCTTGGAGCAGCATCTGGGTGTGCCAGGAGTTTGTGGCTGGGGCTTCCCTTGGCTCCTTCTCACTGTCAGGAGGGACAAGCAATCACAATATATCTTCCCTCAGCTAAGCCCTTTCTGTGAGCAATGGGCTTTTTTGTGTTGGGATCCTCTCTCTAATACTACAGTTCTTTATTTTCCACTATCTTTGTTTTGGATAAATCCTATTATTTTTTAAAAGAAGCATTATTTGTGGCTGTTAACTCATGTGAGGGATGCTAATAAGGAGTTTTCTTATCTGGTTACTTTCATACAAGGAAAATTAATACAGTGCCTTATGGATAAACATGAGATTTTGGGGGCATAGCTGCATCGTGTGCCTTGCCTTCATCTCAGAAAGTTTAAGGTCTAGCAAAACAAAGGAATTTTAATCATCAACAAAAGTTATAAAATTCTGGCCCTGTTAAATTCAGTAGGAGTTTTGCTACTGACTTCATTGAGGTCAGGATTTCACCAATATTATTTGTGAAACCACATAAGGGAAGGAAATGTGGAAGCAGTCAAAGAGCCCTTTTCTTGGTCGTCTTCTGTGATGTTGTAGTTAAGGGATTGGATTGTTTGTTTAAAACACTTCAGCAGCAGCAACGTATTGGGATGGAGCATCATCTTTCAAAGGACGTTGTAGGGCAGAAAGAAAGGGTTGAGGAGGAAATGTGGATGCTGGTTATATAAATAGGTTGTGTATCGAAAAGAGTCGGGTTGGAGCTGGGTTTGATACCCAATCCTGGAGGCAGGTGTGTTTTACAGCCTGCTGTGGCACGCTGCCACACCAGTGGGGCCAGGCTTCGTGCAGGTAACACCAACGCCTTCCATCCTAGGAGGGAAAAACAGAGTGGTGCCACTTGTACTGGGCTGAATGCTCACAGTATTTCATGCACTGTGATTAATTAAATTATTCCAGTGTTAACCTACTCTGGGCTTTGCTTTTAAAATGGATGAACAGAGAGGGGAAAAAAAAAAGAAAAGCCGAAATGCTGAAGAGAGGAGATTGTGTTTCTCCCTAGCATGTCCCTAGGAAAGTCTTGTCTTTTATTTTAAGCCTGATGCCTTCAATGAAATATCCAGGAAGACTGATTAGAAGCCATGCATAATGATAGCATGGAAATCAGAGAGGTGTGGGGTTTAGGCTGAGAAACAATGAAATTTGAAGTAAAATATTAAAATTATCATGTACTGTGCGAGACCTCCTATTAAGGTTTAGATGGAAAATCATGATTTGTTCTTTAGGCAGCAGGCTATGTTGCTCTGTTTTTTAAACCTATTTGGAAATAAATATATGTAATTATTATTTATTTCCCTTTGCTGTCTTTTAATGGAGACATTGCAGCAGCACTTTGTGCTGAAGCTGCAGTGTCTGCTCATAACTGAGGGACACTCCAGTATCGAGGGTTTCCTCTGCAGCCCTTAACCATCCAGAAACGCTGTTTTAACAACCCCCTCGTCCTTCCCTCCGCAGCTGAATCTGGTATCGAGCGTCACGCTTTCCAAGACCGCGTCCGAGGCGTCTCCGCAGAGTTTACCTCATACTCCCACCACCCCGACTGCGCCCATCACTCCCGTCACGCAGGGACCGTCGGTCATCACTACCACGAGCATGCACAACGTCGGACCCATCCGGAGGCGGTACTCGGACAAGTACAACGTCCCCATCTCTTCAGGTAAAGAGGGGTTCTGCTGGCACAGCCCCCCCGTGTTCGCCCGCGGCCCAGCGGCGTCGGGCTGTGATGATAACAGAACAACTGCTCTTATTTAGCAGATATTGCCCAGAACCAAGAATTTTATAAGAACGCAGAAGTTAGACCGCCATTCACGTATGCATCTTTAATTAGACAGGTAAGCTGAGCCAAACACACGCGTCTGGATTAGGGAAAAAGTATATCTCCCTATATGTGCTGGATTAAATAGATTTTCAAACCTTTGGTATGTAAGCATGCTCAAATGCTCAAACCTTTACTATAAGGGTTTTTAGAACTGCAATATATAACATAATTGCTTTTGATTAAGTATTACAATACGATGTGATTATTAGGAAATTCATTTCACACAACAGTGAAAATGAGCCTGTTTAAAGATGGCAAGTCAATTATCACAAGCTACAGTAATCTCTGATCCCTAGAATTAATCTGAGCTCTAAATAATTACTGAGCTTTAATCAGCTAGTGAAATGTTTTGCATTTCTCTTTGATTCTGCTTTATGAATGACTAATAAATTAATATTTCTGTAAGGAAACAGAAATAAAAACTCAAAACAATTAGATAATTCCATTTTGAATTTTGCCATTGAACTGTTAAATACAGCCATTAATCTTAGTTCATATTGTGAAAACTCTCCTTTCGATTTCTTGCTCCAAATCTGTTCTTTTTCATTCTTCCTTTCTTCCCTTTTTTTGTATCTGGCAAAGTAAAACTGTGAGCGTGTTTTGTGCTGGTAACTGATCTTGCAATTGCTTTGCTCCACAAGGCCATCCTGGAATCTCCTGAAAAACAGCTAACACTAAACGAAATCTACAACTGGTTCACACGAATGTTCGCCTACTTCCGACGCAACGCGGCGACGTGGAAGGTAAGGCTGAGCCCACCTCCTGCCTTTCCTCTCTGCCGTGCACAGAACAGACCTTGCTGATGACATAAATTGTCCCGACGTGGGGACATGAAAAAATTTAGATCGGCAGTTGTGACACGCGCCGAGTGCCTTATCTGCAGGAACAATTTGATATTTGGCAGAAAAAATTCCTCTGCCTTTGAAAACCACTAATTGAATCCCCATTATTGGCTTTTATGTTCTGTGATTATGCTGTGGGTTCCTCTGTGTGGTTGCTACAAGCAGAGAAACTCGGGCTCTTCAGCCGGAACATATTAGAAAATTTAAAAAAAAAAAGGAGGTAAAATTCTTGTGACGGTAGAAGATATACTGTTCATCTTTTTAGCTATGCAGGTTTTAATCACAACAACCATTTTTTTCCCTAGGATCTATAGATCAGTGGATTTCTTTCCTCAGTCGATTGACTTTTAACTACATAAACAGCTGTTATAAACTTCCTCTCTGTTTTTTTTAATCACACAGCAGCTCCTCAATAAGAAATGTCTTTAACAGAAATAAACGTGGGGTTTTACACTTTAATTTCCTTCAATAACTGTTACACGTACTGTTAGATGAGAGGTTTGGGGAGTTAACTTTATTCTGTATTTTGGGGAGACACTCTTTTGCTTTAAATGCAGCACTTTAATAGTCATATTGACTTTTGAATCCAGAGTAATCACAAATGAATGATTCAAGTAACTGGATGTTGTGTTGCTGTAAAAACTGTAAAAACCCTGGTGCTTGGAATCTCTCTTAATCCAGACAGCACTGTTGTTCTCAAACAACTTCAATTTACCAGGTAGTATGAATAGGTCCCATACATGCTGTTCCATCAGCTCTTTCTGTTTTCCTGTCCCAGCCTGCGTTTAAGATTAATTCCTTCAGCGGATGGAGCTAAAAATGGTCCTTGGAAGTTAGCTTGGTTTTTAGTGGCATGGTTTTCGTTTCATTCAGACCCCAGCACAATTTTGTACATTTTCAACCATGGTCTAGAAGCTCTTAAGTTCAGGAAAACTTTCTATGATTGCTGCTTTGATTCTTCCCTGCAGTTGGAAAACATGAGCAGTGTTCAACTTTGCAGCTTCCTTACTATCCAGAAAGGAAATTAACTTTCCCTGATTTAAGATCCTTTTAGACCTGCCTGTCTTTGGCTGCTGGAGTGCTTCCAGTAGGGCTTTTCAGCAGCTGCAGGTGTGGGTGCTTTTAAAGTAAAAATCCTATTTAGTTCCAGCAGCAAAGGGAAGTGGAGGGAGGAGTGGAAGAAGGCAGCAGGCAGTCCTGGCTGTATCTCCTGTGAGCCTAGTTTTGGGAATTAGCTTTTGGCATCCCAAAAAACTCAGTCCCAGGAGCCAGTGCAGATACAGAAGAGCAGCAGAGAGGCTGGGCTGCAGATTCTCAGGCTTGTGGACAGGCACTGTGTGTCCCAGGGACACAGGTGCCATTTGGAGACCTCTCCTGGCATACCTTGACCTTCTGTAGGTGTCCAGGTCCTGCCTCATGTAACGGGAAAGAAAAACTTCACCCCCACATCCACCAGTAAAATGGACAACTGGTTGGAGTAGTGCAGGTTTTCGTGCTGGAGACTGCTCAGATTTCTGCCAGCCTCCAGGAACAGCAGGGATGAAAATGCAGCTCTGGATTGGCATGACGGGAAGCCCACAGGGTGCAGAACGAGCACAAGGGGCTAATTGCAGAATCAGAATAATTTGAATATATATGTGCTGATTTGTGATCACCTTCAGCTAATGCTTAGGGGGCATTTGGGTCACTGTTCCCCAAGTTTAAGGTCAGGGTTTGGTGTGGACAAGCTTCCCTGAGCCCTGTTTCAAAAACACAGAAAAGTGCAAGAATAAAGACCTTTAAAAACTGAACCTCTTTCCCAAAATGCAGTATGGCAGAGACTGAGCAGTTATTAAAATAACAAACCCTTTCATTTACTACATTCAAGCATGTTCAGGGTAATTTTTCTGCAGAAGTGGCTTGCATACAAATATTTTTAACAAGGTAAATATATAATCTTACAATAATAGCTCCTAATTTTTCTGTTAAGCTGATTGTTGGTGCAGCACTGTAAACTGGTTCTGACAGGTCAGAGGCAATGTCTGTTTGCTTTTATTTTTTGGAGTAATTTGCTGGCACAGAGTCACAGCCATGAGGCGCAGGCTGCAGGTGTGGCTCTGACACGTTGGGGTATTGTTCACATAAAACTGTTAGATAGCAAGTATCCAGAGGCAGGGGAAACACAACAATTTTTTTTCTGGCATGAGCTCCTTAAATATGTGATCACATGGAAAATAGAAAATGAGAGCAACACTTCATGGATGTCTTGTAAATATTCAGCTTCTCTGTCTCAACATATCCAGCAAGAGCCCTGTCCCACAGCCTTAACCATCATTGCAAATGGACTTCAAGAGAACAAGAACAGTCTGTAAAGTATTTCACCAACATAAAATTTGTTTAAAGAAAAACACAAATATTCCTGCTCAACCCTGTCTTTAGAGACTATTTACAAACTCTGAGGACTCCCTTTGCTGGGCTTTTGCCGTGTGCGTTTGATCAACTGCTGTATGAACCACAAGATCAGCTTTCACTGGGGGAAATAGCGTTATTATTCTTACATTTTGCTCCAGACTTGACAGTGTTCCCATTTTCACAGGAAACTGCCTGAGTTACCCAGATGTGGGCCAGCAGCCCTGTGTCGGGTTGCACTAGTGCAGCACCCACCAGCAGTTGCTGAGCTGGCTGATTTCAGCTCGTAAGGTGTGGGGCGTTTACATGTTATTCCTCCACCTCAAAATCAGGGATTTTGCCAAAAATGTCAACAGTACTGAAATCTGGAAGAGGTGGGAAGGAAAAAAAAAAACCCCATTAAAAAATAAGAGCAGGAAGAAGAAAATAAGGGCAGAAGGAAGCAGGCCTGATGGACAGGTTGACTTTCTGCTAGATTTCATCCTTGCTGAGAGGAAAAGCGTATTTAAGGTTTATTGTTTCAGCAGTTCAGAAGCAGATCGATGTGGAAAAGCTGAAGTGCCTGCATCAGGCACCTACAGCCAGAGGAGATGTGTTTGCACTCCAGCATCTGCTGAGCAAAGGCAGTTCAAGCCCCAAATCTTCCACTGCTACCAGGGTGGGAGTGTGGGGACTGCACTAGGCATGGCAGGGAGTTGGGGAGGGAGCAGAAGACTCTTTGTGTTCCCCTCCCAGCACACACACCACTGCCTCCTGATTTACATGACAAATGCTCTGTGCTACCCTTTGTTTGCACTGTGATTTAGACATTCACTACTAGAGCTCCCTTCCCCATCCAGACCCCATGTTTGTGGAAAAAAAAAAAAAGAGGATGATGTTGGAAGGGAAAAAAAACTTGTCGTCTCCTGGTTGCCTAGACCCAGGCCATGTGTTTGGCTGGCTTTGTGCCTGCTAACGAGTCAACCAGATTGACTGAATCAATGGTGCCAGTGAGGATGGAGTTTGTTCGTCTGCAGATTTTCAGCAAATGGCTTCTTCTGGTTTTCCTGTTTCCCAAGCCCCTTTCAGCGGTGCTGGGAACAAGCTCCATGTACAAATTCCTGTGAATTCCATGCACAATGCCTTTGTAGACTCATAGAGTCTTTTAGGCTGGAAAAAAACCTTTACATCCATTGGGTCCAGCTGTTGTTGCAGGGTATTTGCTCAGGAAACTCCTGAAGTGGGGACGAAGCATAGCATTCCATTTGAGGAGTAACAAGGCTTTGGCACCCTGGAGCAGGGACAGAAAAGCCAAGAGCTTTCCATGCCTTAGGGAGGTGTCTTGTTGTGTCTCAGCACATTGGAGGGGTTGGCCATGCTCATCCTTTCCAGCATGGAGCTGCAGGGTGGACATTCAGGCATTGGGTGCCACGAGCACGGGTCCCTCTGGGTGATGAGCTGTGGGGATATTATCACTTTGTTTCAGAGAGCCCTCCTCATGTTTTCACTTGGCAGAGGCTCAGATCAGTCACTACAGTAGTCTGCCAGAAATAGGAGCCAACTTCCATATAAGAGCAAGCCGTGGAGGCAGGAGTTGGTGCCGGCTGGCCGGTGGGGTGCTGCCGAGCCCCCGGCCCGTGCTGTGGGTGTGGAGGGAGGTCCAGCACCTGAATCACATTAGCCCAGCTGTGGAAAACCACAGCAACACCAGCTCCTGTGCCTCACAGCTAAATCCAGCCGACTGTACTTACATAAAATCTTTTCTGTTCTTTCTAACTGCTTTCTTTTCCAGGAGGGGAGAAATTTCTCTTTGCAGGGCGTATATATATTTGTTTTGAAAAAGTCTTAAGCAATGTTCCTCATGTGTTCTGTATGAAATGTGCTGTATTTTACAACATGCATGCTTAAAATTGTGGCTGTTCTCAGTCACTCTGGGGATAATTGATAAGAATAACGTGAATTTTTAATCTTGGGTTTAAGCTTTCATATTTATTTTGTCTTTGCAAAATAAGATGTAAAGAGCCGGGGAAAGCGAATGGGTGCGGGGAGGGGAAGGGGCTTAACATTGCAAAATGAGAACTGTCAAGCTGACTGTGCTGCTGCTGTTCTTGGACAATGATGAGCATTTTCTCATAGAAGGTTTTTGAATGTTTTCTCTTTTATACTTGCTGCAGAATGCAGTGCGTCATAATCTTAGTCTTCACAAGTGTTTTGTGCGAGTAGAAAACGTTAAAGGGGCAGTATGGACAGTGGATGAACTAGAGTTCCAAAAACGAAGGCCACAAAAGATCAGTGGGTATGTCCACCATGTTTGAACTTCTTAGCCTAGCTCGGATCATGCTTACAGTTTAACGTAGAGGCTTTTGGCTGCTAGCTGGTGTTAGACCAACCACAGGTGGTTTTGCATTGTCTCAGTTAAGGGAAACCAAGACAAACATCTCATCACTACTGTTTGTATGCCCACCAGTACCCTGACCCTGCTTGCTTGGTGTTTGTTGCATCACATGCTAGTAGCTTTTAGGTGGCAATGCATATTAACCCTCACAAACCATTTGCTTATGCTTATTGCATTTTATTTTCTTTTTCCTTTTCCCTGTATTTGATGTCTGTTCTGTCCCCGATCCCGTGTCCCTTTGTTTCCACTTCATCTCCTTTGCTGCTGCTCTTGTCCCAGGGTGCCATTCGCACCAACCTCTCACTGCATAAGTGCTTTATCAGAGTAGAGGATGAGTTTGGGTCCTTTTGGACTGTTGATGATGAAGAGTTTAAACGTGGCCGTCATATTCAACGAGGCCGTCCTCGAAAATACTGCCCTGATGAAAACTTTGGCGAGCTTGTTGCACAGTAAGAGCTTTTACTTGCTTTAATTTTTTTTTTCTGCTGTTGCTTTGCTTTGCATGATTTACCCATCTCATGTAGACTTGCATTTCACAAAATAGCGTCATCACCTTTGCTGCTAAAGAAACTAAATTTTTGGTTGTTACGTGTATTTTGTGTGTCCTACTCTGATAATCCAAATGCCTATAGTAAAAACTTTACTCTGATGTGTTTGGTAAAGCATTTATTTATAGAGCAATGTAGACTAAGATAATTATCCATGCTAGCACAGATACACTGCTGTAGACGTGTCAGGAAGACAGATATATGCCAGGAAAGGTTTCAGATGTGTTTTAATTCTGATATTTTCCTTTGCTTTATATTGTATGCTTTGTTTTGCAACTCCTAATCAGAAAAAGTAAGGTACTTACAAGACAGAAATGCTGAATTCACTTTAAAGAGTTTGAAAATGCAGTGAGACCAGCTGTAAAGATTATCAACAGGCAATTGTGTGCCTACAACAACCATTCCTGGGCTTCCCAGAGGGATTTTCTTTGACCTTTACTCGAAGGCCATCTCTCCTGGACAGCTGATCCTTGCTGGTCCCTGTGCAAGGAGCTCAGTTAAGACTCTGCTCACCATAATTTATTCCCACATGAATAAAATTAAAATAAAAACATGCCCAGTGAGTGATAAAACTTTTGGGGGCTATTTTGCATGGGCATTTTTTCTGCCTAGTTTCTATTTCGTGATTTTTTTTTTTTTTTTTTTTTTTTTTTATCTCCCGATGGAACCACTGATAATGGGATGCCTCCTAAAGAGAGAGAGCCCATGTGATCCCGATTCCTTTTCCTCAAATCTGTCCCCTTATGTAAAGGTGACAAAAATAAGAGTCCAAAATAGCACACCAGAATATTTTTTTACTAAAAACACCCTAACACCCTTCAGGGCAGTGTGGTGGTTTCTGCCTGCCCTTGAGCCTCCATACCCATGGGCTGCTTGGGGTGATGGTGTGGATAGCCCTCACAGTGGCCATTGGCATGGGAGGAAATAACATGGAGCAAATAAATCCTCATCGTGGTGCCTCCCTCCACTGGGAGAGCCTCCGCTGCCAGCGACTTGGAGAGTCATTTGGATGAAGCAGAGTTTAAAATGTCCCGTGGTGCTTTTGGTCATTGCCTCCTCTCGATGGACCTTCACGTGGTAACGGGCTCCCAGACACGACGAAAATTGGAGAATTTCTCCTGAACAACAGCTAAAATGAGCAGAGATGCCAAGATGTGCCACTAACACAGGGTAGTAGAACACATGGCGAGGTAACGTCAAGAGATAATGATGTTCCTTATTTAGTAAAGGCAAATATAATAACCATAGCCGAAAACTCAGATATTTTCTTCAAATTAAAAAAAAAAAAAAATAGAGAAACTAAAGAGAACTCGTGTGGAAAACCAGTCTCAGCTCTAGTTTTCTGGTGGGGGAGGAAGCATTACGTGCTTGAAACACTGGCACAGAAGTTGGTTGCATTTAACTCTCCTTTTTATGTTTTTCTTATGCAGTAACCCTTCTCTTATTAAAAACATACAGACCAGCCACACCTACTGCACACCTCTCAATGCTGCTTTACAGGTAAGATTAATGACTGTAGCAAATATGCAACAGAGGCGTGTGTCTTCCCCACTCATTTCAAAATATATTAGCCTTGCTCTAATTAGATATTAAATTTTAATTCCGTTAAACTTTTTTCTTAAGTGCATAAAGCATCATAGTCCCTGGAGGCAAACACATATCAGGCTGCTTCAGCATTAGCTAGATGCTTAGCATTTTGAATATTGTGGCAAAAAAATTAAAAGTTCACTTATTAATATTTATCAGCAGTATCATAATTTCCATCCTCTTATTTCAGAATTTCACTTGAGGCAAAAATACCACAAGTGTAATTACTCTAGCACAGCTATTAATGTGCTGAATGATAGGATACTGTGGCACGTGACCTTCTATTGTTCATGGCTTTAAAGAGAAAGCAGATCATTTTTCCCTCTTTTCTTTTAAGGGCTATTTTTGCATATCTTCCTATTGTTGGTAAAAAATAAATGGTGCAATTCCTATAGAAAATAAAAGATCATTTTTATTGGTTTAAACTGTAAACGTAAGACAAAAATTAATTATTTTCACTATGCAAAAATACACAAAGTGCGGGTGCAGAATTAATAACTTGCAGCCTAAAAATGTTCATGTCTCCATCCCTTTTTCCTGTGCCCTTTTTCCCCCTTCAATAAATTCCTGAGTCAATCCCCAGGTAAAGCATGTGTTCTCTGTATAAACCAAGGATGCAAATGCATTACCATGCCCTGATTTGTAATGGGGTCTGTGTGTTTGTGTGGGGGTTCAAACCTGGTTTATATGTTATGAATTAATCCAGGAGGCAGCACCATGCATGGTTGCACCCCAGGTGGTTCCTGGGGTCACTCCTCTAGAAGTTCACTGGTGGCCATGGGTATTTGCTTAGGCAGTCATGTTTTCTTGAAGGCTGAGCAAACTTCTCTTTTCAGAACCAAGAAACAAATTATTAGGAAGAAAATTATGTTTTGCCTTTCTTCTAATTGTTTTGAGTTTGTGCAGTTACTCCTGCAAAGCCCAGGAAAGCATGTTTAAATGAAGCAACTGTAAATACCATTCATTAGTAACTTATTTTCCCTTGAGTCTTGTGAAGTGTGATTTTTAAAGACTGCTTTGTCTCCTGAATAGTATTAAGATTACAAGCACATTTTGCATTCATGAGGCTGAAAGGCAGAAATGAAATGATCCTGCATTTCTTCACATTGTTAACTATGTGACTAATTTCAATTAATATGCTTATCATATGGAACTGTTCGTGTTTTATTTCTGAAACACGTGTCGTTGTCGTCATCTCCATCCATTCTTGTCTTTCGTGATAACCTCCAAACTGTTTCCATTCCCCATTTTTCCTGAGAGAGCCATGTCCTTGTGCCTGCCCATTTCTGAGCTGATGGAGAGAGGAGCCTGGGCCAGATTTGCTGCCATTGTCACCCCTCTAATAAATGGGGATGAATAATTATCATTGCACTGGGGCAAGTCCTCTTTTAGGGTGAAAATACACCAGCAGGTCCCACACTTCTCTCCCTGCCATTGCATTTTGGAGGCAAAATCCCAATGGGGTCTCTGGGGCTGTAGAGTGTCTGGGCAAATAATGCAGGTGGCCACTGCCATGTGGGCAGTTTGGATCTCACTTGGGCAGCAAATTCCCCTATGACACAAGGCTGCCTTACCTGCCAGGCCTACATTCAGTCTAATTAATAATGGATGAGCAGTGTTCCCCCCAGCTTCTGTGGGCTCTGGGAAGGTCTGCTGCTTGCACATCCCCGTGAGCTCCGTGGGGTCTGCACAGTAGGCTGTGTGCTGCGGCATGGCAGGCTGTGGTTTCTTTTCCTGTGGGGTGGTAGAGCCTCCCCTCTCCTTCACCCAGACCCTGCTGACATCTCCTCTATCTGTTTTCCCTCGTGGCCAGGGAGAAGAAGCAGCTCTCTCCCCCCTCTGTCTGTGGAAGGTATGGGGACTCCAGCTCTCACCAGTTCTCTCTTTTGCCAATGGGTCAACAGGGGCTCCCAAAACACCCCCTCCCCTATTACTGTCTTCCTAGCAGATATTCCTTGTGTTCCACCTCTCCCCCAGTGAATTGCTTAACTGCAATTACAAGTTATCACTGTGGGTGAAGAACTTGAGTCATTATTTTGCCAAGTGCAGGAAATGTGAACCATTCTTTGCATCCCCTAATCACAATGAGTTTGCCGGTTGTTGAATCAAGAAGATAAAAATAATCCTCCCTGTTAGAATGGCTTTTGTAATCACGTGTGACACATAGGGCTGCACATGGAGAGGTCAGCGTACGGAAGAATAAAAGGGGCTGTGCTTCTGGAGATGCTGCAGTGAGGGCTGGTCCTGCCCTCCCTTCCCATCCCATCTCCCCCCACCCTTTCTCTGGCTCTGCTCGCCTGGGTCAAACTGCTGGCTGGCAGCAAGCAAGGAGTTTGTCCCACGAATGAGGAGCAGGCGAGAGCGTTTGGTGAGGAGTGTGTTCGCATGGATTCCCCTCCCACGGGCCAGGTTTGCATCATGCAGACCCAGCCTGATGAATTTTTTTGCTTGGCCACTGCAGCCAGCTGACCTCTCCCCAGAGCAGGTCAAGTGCTGCCGAGCCAGCGTCTGTGACTGCCCGGCGCTGACACAGCTCGGGGAGCCACGGATGATGTCAGCCAGATCTGGCTGGGATGGGTGAAATGGTTAAATGTCCTTCCAGTCCCTAGGCACTACAGCCTTGGAAAGCTGTGCCTCCCATCCTGTGCCTCCCTGCCGTTCCAGTGCCTCCCATCCTCACCAAACACTGGGCTCCTCCGGGGCTTGGGGTTTCTGCGTTCCCACCGCTGCTGTGCTGGGCTGGGACTGTGCTGTCAACATGAGCTAATGCTGACACACAGTAAATATTAGCAGGCAGAACGGTGGGAATCAGAAGGAAAATATTTAACAGTTCATTCTCTTCCTACAAAGATTTCCATTTAGAAAGTTAACTCCAGTGTGCCGCTGCACAGTGTTTCCTTAGAACAAAGGGAAAAATCAAAATAAAATAGTCAGATCTATAACAGCTAAGGTAAGAATTGAGTTGCTGAGGTTTAAAAAATTCCATATGGAGCGGTTCAGCTCTCAGGTAGATTGGTGCAGCTCTGATCCAGTTAGCAGTGATGGCAGCCTCACACATGTCCTAAGGAAAACCAAACTCCATGATGCTGCACTCCAGCTTGGTGCCCACTCACTCCAGTGGGAAGGAGTTATCAGCTGAGCCAGTTCCAGTTTTTTTTCCCCATTTCATTAGAAACAAAGCCCAAACCTAAGCCACAAAAAATACCCCAAAGCCCGAAACATAATTTCATGAAGCAAAAATAGGGAAAGTACATTTTCTTTTTTTTCAGGGTGTGTAATTCCAAAGAGGGAATGGAAAGCTCCATCCTCTTATAAGCCAATACAGCTATGAATCCTTAAACCCAGATCTAAACTATGTTAAATTTCCCTTGATGGAACCAGGGTAATACCTATCAGAAAGTACAATATTTCAAAGAACCTATAATTGCAAATAATGTAAATGTGGAGAATGTTTTGGAACGAGTGAGTGTGTTGTGCAGTGTATAAAAACGTTAGTCATGGCTCTTCATGGAGTTGTTTGTGTCCTTGGCAGGCTTCAATGGCTGAGAACAGTATACCTCTATACACTACTGCTTCCATGGGAAATCCCACTCTGGGCAATTTAGCCAGTGCGATGAGGGAAGAGCTCAATGGTGCAATGGAGCATACGAACAGTAACGGGAGTGACAGCAGTCCAGGACGTTCCCCTATGCAAGCAATGTAAGTATGGCAGAGGCACGTGCTGCCTCTAGGTCTTGTCCTACCAAGGGTGACTCTGGAGACTCCTGGCTCCTTCCTGAGCTTCATGGATGGAGCAGCAAAAGCAGACATCTGCCTCCATCTGGGAATATGTGCAGGGCAATTTGAACATAAAAGAGCCATTTACCAGCTTCTGCATAAAACTGACCAGTTCAATCCAGTCCGAGAAGGACACAGGGCTTATAAAATTGTTTGCTTGTTTGCAGTTCTCTCCTTTAAACCTTGCAAAACCTCATAGGCAGCTGTGTTTCCTGGAGAAACCCTGTGATTTCTCTCCCCTTCGGTTTGCGCGATGAGCACGGCCCGTGGGGCAGAGCTGGGAAATGGGCTTGTTTGGCCAGTCAAAAAAAAAAACCACTCAACACAAAACGGTCTTGCTAAGCATTAATGTGAAGGTCTGTGTGATTTATAGATTGCTCTTAAAATATCAAAAGGAGAATTAATAGGGGCATTATAGCAACAGACGGCGGCGTAATGAGCGCGCCTATAACCGCGTGAAGTGACGGGGCGCGCCTGCCCCGCTCAACGTGAGCGGCACCCGGGCAGCGGGCGGGCGCAGGAAAGGGTAAGGCAGGAAGGGTGTGATGCCCCGACGGGTGTGTGCGGTATTTATGGGGTGACGGAGTGAGTTTGCAAAGCTGTAAACTCCCCCCTCCCCTCACATCACACACCGGGTAATTGGCGGCCGGTGAGGAAGCCGGAGTTTACAAATCCTGTCGTTCCCAAAGCTCGGCGGAGCAGTTGGGTACCTGTGGGTGACCGTGCTGCCCGTCTTCCTCCTGCTCCTTAAAACAGCCTGTAAAATTACTGGCTGGCTTGCCAGGGCTCACATTACACATTAAAAAGAGAACTAATTTGTAGTCTTCTACTTCAAAGTAATTTGAATAAGGGATTTACAAAAGTAAGTCTAAATCGAAAAGTAGAAAAAAACATTAACCTAATACCACGGTAGTAATTAGTTGTGAAACTAATTAGCATTTAATGGCAAAAAAGTTTCCCACCTGCATAATGTGTTGTCAGAGGGGAGGGGGCACGAAGGAATCTGAGGCTCTGGATACTTTGATATTGCAGTGTTTTAAATCAGTGCACAAAGTGCTTTGAAAAAAAAATCTTTAAAGATGGCAACATTCATTTTTAATTAATAATTAATTTAAACATTGTCTTTTACCATTTACTTCAAAACATTCAAATAATGTGTTTAGCTTTTCCAGTGATTGTTTGTGCAGTATTAATTATCTCTCCCAAAGTAACGGTGCATGACACACTTTCCGTCTCTCACAGACGGATTCATCTCCAGGCACTTTTAGTCACAATTTGTTATCCTCTGCCTGTGACCATGCAGGGCCGGCGTGAAGGAGGAGTGGAGGGACATGACTTTTCTCAAGAAACAAGACTTCTCCCAAGGGTTTCTTCTGGCCTAATAGACAAGGATGAACGTTTATGATGTTGTGTTAATCCGAGTAATTATTTTTTTGCAAGTTCAAGGCTAGTGCAGTTCATGCACTTCTCATTTCACCTAAGGTTTCCTTGTCTTTGAATAGACTGAGAGGAGGGAAAAATAACTGAGTTGAAACAGGCTAGGACTTCTTCCAGAACTGTGCATAGCTGTGGCCTTTGTTGCACTTAATAATCATCTCTTAGCACATTGATACCAAGGTGAGGGGCACAGAACAAATAGTGGAGAGAGAGGAGGTCGGGGGGAGTGATGCCTCATTTTCATTATTCACCAGAAAATCCAATTTTCTGTTGTAATATGGAAATGATTGTTTCCTGAGTGTTTTCATTTTCTCAGAATTGATAATATATGTGTTCTCTGCTGAACATTTCTTTTTGCTTAAGTAAAATGTGGCCGGGTGATGTTCCAATACAAGCCTCGGAGCTTCCCCATTATAATGGTGTTTCTAAGTAGTTTGAAGGGATCTAAAGCCAGAACACCATTCACACGTCATAGGGTTTACCCTGTTTACTAAATAAAATCATGAGTCAACAGAGACTCTGCTGTTACAGATGCTGTGAAACCTTTTTGTTTTCCATGTTCCTGCTTTGTTAACAGCATGTTCATTCTTTTTCCAGAACAGATTTCCTTGTCATAATGCAAATTATTTTTTAAACAATTTCAGTATATTAGAAGAAACCAAGTTTTAAACTTTATTGTAAGGTTTAAAGGACATTGTTAACATGACAGCTAAGAAGTCTAACACTTTGGCTGAAGTCTTATTACCGCTCATTCATTTCCTTTTTATGACACATTGAACCACAGCTAGGGTGGGTTTTTTTCCTCTTCTCTCTCCCTCCTTTTGAAACACTAGAAAGTAGTTGCATAATTACAGCTTGGGGACATAACACTTTCATCCTGATATGCTCCAAAGGTAGCCACAAAGCAAACTACTCCATGCTGTGTGCACCACCAGAACTCAGTGGCTTTAAACAACAGTCAGCTTTATTAAAAACTCCTCTGTTCCCAGAGTGGACAAACAAAAGAATTACTCAGATGTGAAAAGAAGGGGAATCTGTGTTCAGCAAGGTTATTTATTGTTAACCCCTTCTGGAGTCCCAGGCATCTACTTAAAAGGAATGTGCTGAATTTCTGCTGCTGTGAAAACAGAAATGGGAAACCCTTTCTTTTCTTTGCCTTCTTTCCCCCTCCCCTTTCTTTTTCTTGTCGCTTAACCCAGCATTTACCTTTTCTGTAATTCAGCAGACTGAATTCTTCAGTCTCTGAAGGAAGTTTTCCTTCCCCATTGAGGATTTGGTGAGGTGGTAAATAGAAATTCAGACTTAACTTGAGAGGATATGAAAGTCTCCCTTTGCCTTCAAGATTATTTAAGCTTATTTATTTCAGTTGCTCAGAAATGTCTGAGAAAAAAACACAGATTCAGGAAGGTTTCCTCCTCACATGCCATTTTGTGGTTACATCTGACAGAATACACAAGGAGCTGGAATTTTTTGGCATTGTTTTCCTTGCAGCTCTCTCCCTGGGGGTTGTGTTACCCAGATAACCTCCTCATTTAGGGGATGGATGTTTTGCCAAGCTCACTGTCTGATGTTTGTGCAACACGTGAGGTGCTGGAGGATGCTGGTGTGACTCTGCTCCCTGTGGCTTTGTGGCCCTCTCTGGCTTTGTCTCACCCAGGGCTGTGCAGAGCTTTTCATAACTTCTGTTGCTTCTCGCACCTCAAGTTTTATTTTTTGACCTCTGGGAATCACACCAAACCTCAAAGAGAACCTCAGTTAAAACCACCTGGTTTCACCTGGTTTCATAACAAAACCAGAAGAGGGGCAGAGTTTACTTTGGAAAGGTTTGGTGACCATTGAATGAGCTTTCATAGCACTTAGAGTGGTTTTGAGCACAGCGAGCACCTGTCTAACCTGCTGGCACCTGAGGTGGTGGGGATGTATTGGCAAGGCTGGGCAGCCTTTGGAGAAACTCCACTCCATGCCCCAAGGCCTCTCTGCTGCACGTGACATGTGCTCTCCTCTCCCCTTTGAAAATTTCCCTTCTGTGTTTTCAAAAATAATACTTAAAAAAAAAAAAAAATAAGCCCAGCAGCGGCAGCATCAAAACCAGAAAGCAAAAAAGCAAGACTTTGACATTAAAACAGCAGTAAAAAAGATCACTGCCATAAAGGCCAAGTAGCACAGGCTTTATTGGGCTCTCAGTGCAGCTGCTCTTTCCCCCTTTTTCTTCTGTTTTTCATTTCATGTTTTCTCCCAAGTGAGGGGCCCCACAGCCTATTCATAATATTAAGTTTTTCTAGTTGCAGGTATTCAGCATATTCATATTCACTGAGGCCATGAGCTGTTGGGACAGGTAGCACATGCACACTCCAGTGTGACAGTCTTCCTGTGAGACTTACACATTTATGCCAATTCTTAACCTCTGATCTTTGAATTGTCTCCTTCCAGTCTTTCCTTTACCCCTCCTTTTTCACTAGTTAGATTAAAAACTGTACGAGCTGTGCTCTCAGTGTGTAATTTTTTCAAAAATTACATGACATGCAGAGGAGCCTCTGTGCTCCCAGAGATGTGTTGATAGGATACATATTAGTGGGTTTGAAGGGAAAAGGTGTGTGTCCATGGATACCGCATCATTTCTCCCCAGCGTTCCTTTGGATGAGTTGGAAGGTGCAGTTAATACTTGAGTATTGATCCAGCACTTTACAACTCAAAAAGTTGAAACAAGCAGGGACTTGAAAGGCATTCGCAGCTCACATTTGAATTGTCTGTAGTCAGCAAGTTAGATACTTCCTAAACTTACCCAGGCTCAAGCCTGAATAAAGAAATAAACAGGATACAGGGGTACAACTGGCTCGCTTAAAGTAGGCAAGGCTGACTTTAGTCTGTCTGTGGATGCTGAGTACATTTTCCCTGCCCAGTGATTTATCCTTGCTGTCTGTCCGTGCAGTGGAGTACAAACAGTGTTGTCGTTGCTATCCACACAAAGCATAAAATACAGTGCAGCTACTTTAAATCATTCATTTTAAAGCAAAGCTGTGCGAGCAGAGGGGGAGTTCTTACAGTGAAGGTGCGTGCTTCAGGTTGTGTGTTCATGTTGCATATGTGAAAGGGTTAAATCAGCCTGCACAGAGGAAAAAAACATGAGTCTTGGAGGTGGATATCAACTCAGTGAGAGACAGAGTGGGACTTGAACTCATTAACACTTTATTTTAAGGGATTGCCTACAACATCAATTATTTAGGAAGCAAACAGGGTCTCCATTGCTGTGTCGCATTATTAATACTTGGTAATGTCAATAAAATTCTACTTTCCTATAAAGTCCCACCAACAAGACACTATTGACTCACATGGCTACTTTACATTTCAAAAGCCGCTGAACAAAAAAAAAAAGAAAAAAGAGAGGTAAAAAAAGGTAATTTGTATTTGTATAGGATTTGTTGTAAATATGATTTACGAACAACATTTTTCAATTGTTATCATACCCGTTTTGAATGACCAAGCCCCATTCCCCTGCGGGTTATTCATATGCTTTGCTGTAATGAGAAATTTGGCAGATCTCATCTTTTTAGTACATCCTTGTGCCCACCATGAGCTGAGGATCATGTTCTGCCTTGTTTACAGCTGACAGTGTTATTATTCTCGTTAGGACTGTGCTTTCTTATCATATTGTTGTGTTGAGCGAGCCTTTTCCTCTCTGTTTGTGTTTCCTGGCAGGGCTTTTCTTCCCTTATTGACAGTTTGTAAAAATATGCATTAATTTGGAGTTTAAAGCATGTATCATGGTGTCTCTTTGCTGTGTTTGCTTGAAGTTGATTAATGATAGAACCTCACTTGGGGTCGTCCTCTGGAGAGTTGTCTCACAGGTTCTGCATGTTAACGAGAGACGCTGCACACACAGCGAGGATGATTAGCCTGGCCCGTGCTGCGCCGAGGCCTTGGCAGGCCACTGCCTTCCCCTTCAGATGCATATTCCACTTATTTATCCAAAGATCATATTAACTTAATGTGTCAGCTGAGAGCGTTTTCTCTCCGTCCCAAGACAGAAACCCTATCGAGGTGCTCCTCCCAGAGTGTTTTCCCGGGGAAGCTGAGTGCTGCCTGCCTGGCACAGCCTTCGTGGAATCTTAGAATCATTAAGCTTGGAAAAACCCTTTAGGATCGTTGAGTCCAGCCATTAACCCAGCACTTCAAGCCCACCACTAAACAGTGTTTTAGGTGCCACATCCACATGTTTTCTGAAGGCTTCTGAGTGCAGTGACTGCATCACTCCCCTGGGCAGCCTGTTCCAATTTGGTCACTCTTTCAGTGGAGAAATTTTTCCTAATTTCTACCTAAACATCCTGTGGGGGCAGCTCGAGGCTGTTACTCTTATTCTGTTGATTGTTACCTGGGAGATGGTGCTTGGTTTGGCTTCCATGGCCAGCACAGACATTGAGGGTCTTCTTGGTGACCTGGAGCTCCCAAACCAATTCACCTTTCTCCCCAAACCACCTGCGCTGTCAAAATCATTTTTTAATGAGTAACTTGCTGATTGTCTGTTGCTTTGTTTTCCCAGGCACCCAGTGCATGTCAAAGAAGAACCATTAGACCCAGATGAAAATGAAGGCCCACTATCCTTAGTGACAACAGCCAACCACAGTCCAGATTTTGATCATGACAGAGATTATGAAGATGAACCTGTAAATGAGGACATAGAATGAGTATGTCTGACATCGTTATCCTGAGAATGAAGATTGGAAGAACACGTCAAACTTAGCTGTGAAATCTCTCCATTATTGTACAGTCTGGAGGATTCTCAGTCCACTTTGACAACTATGAAATATGTTAACTCTTAGTGCCATCAAGTATCCCATTTGGGAGTATTTTTGATTTTTCTACTTTTTGTTGAAAAAAGGAATTTGTACTCTGTGCATTGGATGGACTTGTTTGGTACTTGGGATTTTCCTCTCTTACAGTCAACATCAGTGTTGTAAATTTGCTAAACTGATTCACTTGCATTTAGCAGCCAGCTGTGGACTGCAGGTCCTGCCAATTTTGGACACTTGAGGACATCAAACTGAGCATGTACACCTGAACTGCAGATCAAGTCTTTGCCCAGATTTTAAGGATTCCAATGGACAACATATTTGCACAGTACTGCATGTTGATTATCACTGCCTTTACTCCATTTTTTTTGTTTTGTTGGTTGGTTTCTTTTATTTTTTTTTTTGCTTCCATTTGGGATGGGGAAGGCCTGTGTGTGCACGTGTGTGGGTATGTGTGCGTGCGTGTGAGCGTGTATATTGGGGAGGGGCTCAAAGAAAAAATTATCCCAAACTTTTTAATGTATTGCTTTTATTCCCCCGCCCCACTTCTCCTCTACCATTTTAAGTTCTGACCTCAGGCCTCATCTGGGCCCAGGGCCTCTCAGAGGCTTCAACGTTTTCTGTACTTTGTGATGAATGTTAATAGGTGTTTTTATTATACGAAGCTGAATGTCATTGAATTGTTTGTAGTTTTTTCTGTCATTCATTCCAGTTTCCTTCAGATGCCACCATGTTTTCTTTAGCTATGGAAAACATTCCATTTCGGTGTCTCCTTTTTTGTTGTTGTTGTTTTTTGAAAAGGTCCCAAATGCTGCACGATACATGTGGAAGGGTTGTCCAACGGAGAGAGAGGAACGAAGTACTGCAAGAATGAGAATGAATGACAGATGAACATAGAAACACTGTAGGAAGCAACACAGATTCATTCCACAAAGCAGTATTTTTAATATATTCTTGTTTTGTTTAGGTTTTTTGATTTTCTTTGAATTTTTTTTTTTTTTTGGCAGCAACGGTGAATATTAGCAAATGCCACAAAATTGAACAGCACAAAGAAACATATGCAGCACCAACAGAGTTCGCTTTTAGTAGAGAATGAATAGTACAGTGGCAGGTTCTCGGTGGTTTAACACAAGTTCTAATGGGTCAACAAATCTTTCTGGAATATCTAAGATTACCGAGATGGGCACCTAAACATTTATTATTACAGCCTTATTTTTCTCCTATTGTTTTTTTACATTTGCATTTGCAAATAGTGGTTGGAAAGATGACTTCATTAAATTGTTACTGTACATGGTGATGTTTCACGGTTAAACATCAGTTCAGGATTGCTCAGTGGCGTTAATCTGTTTGAATACAAATTAGATTTCAGATTGAACTTGTTACGGGAGTTAATAAGGACGGGGCCCCACTAATGCTAAAGTGTTAATTTTCAGCTGTGCAAATCCAGTACTGCAGTTAGGATTGTTATGCAATATTACACCAGCCAGTATGGAAACCTCGCCGGAAGAGTCGGGAGAGAGTTGGGAGAGAATTGGCGCCGGGGCTTGTTAGGCAAAACTGGCAAAGCTCTGCAAAGCAAACACGACATACAAAATCTGTTGCCATAGGTCAGTAAACCTCAGTCACCAAACACCTAAACATTTGCATTCTGCAACCACTTTTCCGTCACTCATTTATTTATGTAGGACTGTAGCTTTTTTTTATTATTTCGAAAAGCCTTTCAGAGCTTAATTTATATTCTTCTTTGTACCTTTTTTTTTTCCTAAAATTACCAAAGATATTACACAAAGGTAAATTATGTTCTCTGTTATATGCTTTATCTTATGAAGCCAAATATCCTCTTATTGTTGATCAAAGGAGGTTGAAGAATTTAGAGGGAAATGACAAGATGTGGGCTATTGCTAACCTGAGAGGGAAACTGCTCCTTTATTCTAGAAAATTTAGAAGGCCAAGTAGATGTCTGAACCAAAGTTGTTACTTTTTATTTGCAATTCTTTACAGTGACCAAAATGAAAGTCTGTAAAGAGGAATCGCGGAGAGCTTTTGAGTTTAAAACTAGGAATCAGTGTTACTGGGGGAGCTATGAGAAGGGAGCTGAAGAAAGCAAAGACACAATTATTTTGTGGAAAATTAGAGTATCAGATAAAGGAGGCAGTTTAGTAAAATACAGAAGAGAACAGAAAAGCTCCCACAATTTAACTGGACGACATAATGGTATTTCTAGAATAAAAAGGAAAAAAAATTTTTTTTGGTCTTTGGTTCTACAGATTGTGTGCCACTTCTGTTCCAGGACTGTGCTGGGATGTCTGCTTTAATTTTGGTTGATCTTGGCACATTTACTCAGTTTTGTTTAGTTTTTGGTCAGCATTTTTCATAAGGAAATAACACTCCTGTCCACTCATAAGCTTTGGTACAAGAAATTTTATTGGCAGTTACTTTTATAAAACTCAACTCTGCTTTCTGTTTCAAAAAGACAAGGAAAAAAAAAAAAGAAAAAAAGGGCAGTCTGTGGTCATTTGGAAACATTTTCTTTAAAATTATTTTTTTCTTTAGTTTTGGTTTAAATTATATCCAGGCAGCTTCGTGACGTGCCGGCGGTAGCCAGACAGGGATCATGAGAATTGAGCCCTGTGCTTCAAAACTGAGTGGTTTGCTGGTTAGTTCGGTATTCAGAAGGGGGATAAAAATCTGGTAGATTAGTTCATTCTCAGCATGTGTAGCTAGACATGAGTAAAGATAACAGCATGAGAAAACTGTTAGTACGCATACCTCAGTCCAAACTGTTAGGGAATGAGTAAATAAAAAATACATTTCACTCAGTTGCACTTAGTTGTATGTCTTGCATGCTTAGTCTAAAGACTGTAGCAAAAATAAAAAAAATTAAAAAAAGAGAAAAAGAAACAAAAAATTAGAGTTTAACATATCTGGCAGGTGTTGCAGCCTTGCAGAAGAACCAACTGAAAATCTCAGGCTTTACATCAAGCAAACTTCACTATGATTTTTACAATTCTGATTCTGTATCCCTTTGGATATACAGTTGCTTCTTTAGGGAGGGGTTTATTATGTTGTACATATATATCCCACTGTGTCTGTGTGAGCCTTTGTCTTTTGGGGGGGTGGGGAGGGAGGAAAAGGTGGAAAGGTCCTTTTTTTAGATATCATTCCTCAAAAGGAATAAATGCAGACCTGTTTGTCAAAACACCTTTTGCTTTTTGTGCAACTGCTTTATATTAACTATACTAAAAAATAGCTTTGAAAAAAAAAAAACTACTGTATGTAATGGAATTGCAGAATACGCTGCACATGTATTTTATTTAGTTATCCTTGCTTTAAGAATATTGGATGACATTTGCTGACATGTGGGAGAAAATCCCTGACTTTTTTTTTTCAGCTTTTAAATTGTAACATAGTTGAAAGATTTTTTTTTTCTCCTGTTATCATTGATCGAAGCATTTTTGTACAGTTTTTGTGTTTAAGCTGGTTTTTTTGATACTTTCCCACCCCTTCTGTTATCTTACCACTGCCTTTTCTGGCTGTCTTAAACAAAGTTCATATATTTGAAAGGAAAAAAAAATCGTTTAAAAAAAATGTTTTTCTCCTGCTGCAGTAAATATTTTGCATGATAAATTCCAGGGTCACACTTTCAAAGTTTATCAGTGAAGTAGTGATTAATAATGGGGAGTGTCAAACTATTGAACTTTTTGTATAAAAAAAACAAAAAAAAAACTTTACAAGGTGCCAAGATGTAAAGACAATTTGTTACATGTTTTTTTTCTCAAAGAAAAGCGTACATTATGAAAGTAGTACCATGTATCAGGTAAATCGCTGTCAGGAATGAGAGTCAAAGCCTTCCTTGTCCACAAAAAAAAAAAAAAGTTTGTAAATGTAAAACCTGTTAGGTTTCTGCATTCAACTAGAAGTGAAATGATAAAAAAAAAAAAAATAAACAAAATCAAGGCTTATGTAGAACAAGTGACCACAAAAAAAAATGACCTTTTTTTGATTCTCACTCGCAAGAGTCCCGCGGCAGGTCCTGCACCTCCCCTTTCCTGGAGCTCAGCTTTGGGGAGAGACAAGGGCAGGGATGCTGGTTCTACAAATATTGCAGATCATTAGATATTTTATATATATACATACATAAATATATATATATATAAAGTTTTTTAAAATAATTTTGAACTATTGTAGTTTTCAGATCGCCAATAATCTCACGTTCATTATAGCATGGAAAAAAAAAAGAAAACAAACCAAATGTGTTTAAACTCTTTTGAAATCCTTTGGTACCTTTGGTTAATGAACTCAGAGTGATTTTTTTAGTTGTTTCAGAAGTCATTTAGTATTCTAGTCTTGCGAGGTGAATTTGCAGTTCAGGACTGCATTTTAATGGGCCCAGAACAGGTAACCAAGTATCTTCTACCCATAAGCCTTGATGAAAATGGTACAGTCCAGACTGTTAGCATGGTGCTTCGTGTGTATGTGCTGCCAGTAACAAGATTTTTTTTTTTTTTTGATAAGGCATAAAAGAAACTCATTCCTTACATCAACTGTAATTCCATCATTCCATGTCTGTTGATACAGACAATAAAAAATGTTGTGTAGTCAGTACTAATTACTGACATTATAGCATTCTCAAATGCAATAAAAATGCTGGTTGTTCACACTGGTAATGCAAGTTGCCATGTCCGAAGTTCTTGTTTTGTTGTTCTCCCCCACAGTGACTCTGGTGTCACATCCCGTGGTCCCTGATCCATGAGCACCTCATCCATGTCCCTAGCTCATCCATGGATGGACAAATCTCATCTCCTGCCTTGAGTCTCCCCCAGCCACATCCAAGTACAAAATATTTTAGTGGTGGTTTTGTGGACAGTCTGTACAGGGCAGCTGGGTGAGGCTGGAAGCAAGGAAGACACAGTCATTCAAGGAATTAATCCACTTTTCCAAGGAAGTCCTTCAGTTTTGCCCATTGGGCTCACAGGGGGTTATTTGCCTTCTCACTGGACTCTGTTTCAAAGCTTGAAGGAAGGGGTTGGGGTCTTCATCCTGCAGCTCCTTCCCAGTGCAGTGCTCTGATGGGAATGGTGCTGCTGGCTTTGGTAGGAAGGGCTGGGAATGTGCACTGCACCCCTGCCAAAAGGGGTTTGCAGGATCAGCCCCTTGGTCCGCAAAACTGAGGAGCAAAGTGCCAAGTGGCACTGTCACCTGAGACAAACTGAAAGAAAAACCCACCTTCTTTCGAGTAAGCACACATTTATTTTCCTCATCAAGTTTTGTAAAGAAAAATAAAATGTTTAATAACTAGCATTAGCAGCAAACTGAAATTTCAGAGGAGAGATTTTTCATGAATAATTCATTAAAATTTCACATCTGCAAGATTAGTCATCCAAATAAAATGCTAATGTCAAAAACATGCACCGTCTATAATATTCTCATCAAGAAATCTTTTTGCATATAATGATAAATGCTTAAATTAGTACAAATGATTTTATAAAAATATTCTATCATAAAATTATACCAGATAACTATTTTTTGGGGGGAGGGCGAGGGGAACTTTGCACACTCATTATAGTGTGTCTCCAAATGGTACAGACTGATAGATTTTAATAATCAAAATACAGAGAATACAAATTCGGCCTTGCTTGTGTGGTGCACTTCCATCACCAGTGAGATTTTAGTAAACTGGAGAGGATTTGTGGGATTAAATTTTCCAAAGTCACGGGCAGAGGGGATTGAGCCAGGAGCTGCTGTTTGGTGTGGTGTGCATCTGTGAAATGGGGGCAGTCAGCTGCAGGTAGGAAACGTGTCCCTGGATGAGCCCAGCAGGGCCCCCAGCCCCTCTCTTGCAGGACAGTGTGTCCCCACACTGGTCACTTGTGTCCCCACACAGGCCATCAGCAGGCAGGTCAGGGGCTACAAGGTCATCACAGATGAATTGGCTGCTCCACCTCCCTGGGCATCTCACCTCAAAAAGTTCATTTGGGGTTCCAAATGTCACGTTTGTCATCTGCTGACTGATCGTGGGCTTGGGCTTAAGGGGAGCTGCTGGTGGGTGCCACATGGAGCTTGTGCCGAGGAGCTGGCACTGAGCTGAGCAGCAGGACCATCATTTCCCCTCCTGTCCCAGTCAGTGCTGCCTGGAGCAGCGGATGGGAATCTGGCTCTTGGCCACCTTCTGTATCATTTTTGATTAATCATATTTCTCCTCCCTGGCTGCTCCACCACGGAACATCACACAATGCCTTCTACTCCACCAGCAACAGCCAGCTGGGAAATACCTTTTCCAGGCAGAAACGCTGTTTTCTACCACAGCTGAAAAGCACTTTTATTGGCAGTGGTGAGGCAATGCATCTCTGAGGAATTTCCAAAGAAAACTGGAGCCTGTGAGTAGTTTTTCTGGGTTTCTCCTGTCCCAGAGGGAAAAAGCTCAGGAGCTGGAGGCCCAGGAGGACATGGCAGCTGACGTGCTCCTTGCACACCCTCCTGCTCCCTGCAGATCCCATCAGTGACATCTAACTTGGGCCGTGGTCACAGAGTCTGACAAACTTCACATTATTGGTCTAATTCAAGGGACTGGCAATTCCTGGTGCCGCTCACTTGCACGCAGCCACACATACACACACCCCTCCTGACAACAAGGTGTAATTAATTCTTCTTGACCTATTAATCAGGCTCAGTCTTCAGTGATGATGTTAAATGTTCATTTAATGGTGTGTTAATCAGGGCTATCTTTCACGCTGGTAGCAGTGTGGTTAATTCTGGCACGTTCATCCTCACATAGCCACAAGCCACCATTCTCCCCAGCAGGGATGAGTGAGGTGGTGGGACATGGCCCTCAGGTGTGTTTGCAGCCTCCATGGTGTCCACACCTCGTTTTTCCCCAAACCCTGGAGCTGGGGCATAGCAAAGTCCTTATTTTTGCCCCGTTTTATTACCTTGGCTAGAGATCCTCAAAGCACACGAGCTGGAAATGGTAGGCAGCATCCCCTCAGGCTATTTACCAATCCCTCCTCCTTTCTTCCACGGGAATTTTCTTTGTCAACTTATAGAAAAAGGGGGAAAAAAAACCCATTTTGTGCCACTTTGTCTGTATTTATTTAGAGGAGCCCAGCGACCACTTTTTATGCCTCTCAGAAGCATGAAAAACATTTTTTTTCTTCAAGTTATAATGTTAATTTGAAGGTAACCGTCCTTTCAAGAATTAATTCCAGCCAAAGCAATAACCATTATTTACCAGAGTTTGACATTTTTATCACTCATCATATTAGCAAATTTCCATTGAAAATGCTAAAATGGTTCGTCATAAGGCACATAACTGCTTTGGCTGTAAAAATGACCAACACAAGTGCCTGTACTCAAACATTAAATTATACTGTAATTAATAAAGACAGTTAAACTGTCTACTAGCAACAGCAATTTAGGTAACCACATTTGATCGGCTATAAATTGTAACTACATTAAAATTCCAGAAATATTAGCAATATGGATTACTTGATGGAAATAGGTGCTGATCACTAACTCTCCTATTTTACAACGGAAGCACAGGTCATGTTGGCCACAAAACTGTGGGCGAAGATCAAGGCTGAGTACTTTTAATCTTGTGAAACAAGCAATTACAAATAGTTGCATCGATTTGTTAAAAAGCTTTAGGTGACATAAATTGTTTCCTGTTTAGCTTATTGCTCTGATACATAAATGTCAGCGAGTATAATATTAATTAGGGTCACAGAACAACAAGGGTCGGGTGATATAGTGTCTGATCCGGGATGTGTCAATCCTTTGTGGAGGCAAGAGCAGCCCCGGCCCTGCCGCGCTCAACGCCTCGTTTTATGTGATGACAAAAGAAAGCAAAGGAAACTGTATTTTAATATGTGAAGTAATTACTTTAGTACTAGTATAATTTTATGGTTTTGGATAAATTACAGTGTTTTCATTCTCCTTCGCTTGCCACATAACATAAAAATCCACATATAGCATCAATAAAATAGAATACTGTTTATAAAGGCTTTCTGCTGCACAAGACCAACACTATTCCTTCTAGCAGATGGAAACTAAGCACACATTTCAGTCTGGTGTGTGTTTCTACACTTAATATTTTTTTTTTTTAACTGAAAAATGGGCTGTGCAGGTTATTTACTTAACATAAATCAAATGTATCATATACACTGTTTCTTTGGATTGGCATCCGACTTAGAAAAATACAGTAAGGTCCTGAAAAATCTGGAGAAAATTTATTAAATATGATTTTTACTGTAATAGAATATTAATGTAACCCAATGCTCATTTCCCATTAAGTTGATCCCTTTTTAATACACACATGCTTTTTATTATTTTGCACTCATGCGAAAATTCCACATTCAGAGAGTTTCCATCTCCTTAGGAATGTCTCTGGCAAAGGCACGGTAAGAAATCTTGCACTGAAAAAAAAAATTAAATAAAAGACAGCAAATATCGACCGATAAGATGTGGCGAAGTGCTGATGAACTGAAGCAAAAGCCAATGATATAATAAAGGGTAAAAAGGCATTCAGCGCTGCGAGGGGAACAGGAGAAACAATTACACTTTAAACCCCTCCTTCTCACTGCCACTGTACCACAGCGCAGATGAAAATGTTTGATTTGCAACATAAAAGATTCATTAATTACCACTTGAATATTTAAAGCTATTTTGCAGACTAACAGAGGTAGATAAAGCACTGAATTAAAACCTCTAATAAAATTGTAAAAATATTTCTGCAAGTTTACCAGCATCACAATTCCTCCCGGTTTAGGGAGCCAGGCTTGGCTTGTTCAGCAAGGAATTATTTCGGTTTTGAGTGGGTATTTGAGGTAAGATGGTGTGATTGCACGGGGCTATTTGTATCTCTCTCTCTCAAATGTTTGCAAAATATTTATTTAGATGCTCTCCCTTCACACGTGGTTGCCCTTCATGGGAGAAGTGGCTTTACAGAACAGAACAGTGGATGGCAAATGTGGCTGAGCCATACATTAATTTTAATACATTTCCATATACAGTAAAAACACATCTAATCACAGCTCTGGTCTAATGCTGTCCTTGATATGAGGTAGTGTGGGGGGGGGGGGAAATCTGTTAATCCTGTTACAATTACCCTTGTTAGACTTAAAAAAAAATGGAGCAGTTGCAAGGATGGAGAAATCATGCCAATGGTAGGAAAGGGTATCATGGAAAGCATCTCTCTGTAACCTTGTGGTACACTCTGAATTTACCCTGTGGAGGCTGATCTGTAAACTCTGGGATTATGGGATATTTCGTTGAAATTTGGAGATTATAAAGAGAAAATGATGGTACCCACACAAAAAGCACACTGCAACTTAAATAAAAATTAAGGATATATATTCATTTGCACAACTTCAGCCTGTGGGCAATACAGCCTTAAAGTGCTGTGAGCCCCTCACCAGGCAATGTAAACCTTGGTGCCTCAGGAGCTGAATCTGACACTTGACAATTGCATATGTTAATTTTTACCTGTTTGCATTCAGTTGGCAGCCAGTTGTTTTTTTTTTTTTTTTAAAAAAACCCACTTTCTATTTTTAAACAAGTGACTGTTTGAAATCCACCACAGTGCAGTTGGGCTTGATTGCAGGCTGAGGGTTGAAAGATACAGCAACAGCACTTTTAACAGTATGTTAACGATGATGAGTAGAGCCAAAATGTATGGATTTAATTAGAGAAAAACAGTTACAGTTCTTTCTCATTGTCATTAATTTATGCAGTTAGCCAACAAAATTCAAAAAAATGTCCGGTTATATTTGGATGCACTCTTTACACAGCTATTCCCGTTATAATTGTTGAGTGTCCACACCCGTTAAAAGGATTTTTTAATCATTCCTCTGTACTTGGCTGTGAAATGCCTGATTTCAGATGTTCTGGGTAGGTCCAGAGTGCCCCAGGAGCTGTTGCCAGCCAAGGGACCCCTGTCCCAGGCAGCACTGTCTGCCATCACCTGGACCCCACCTTCACCAACAAACCATAATATCCAGGGCAGTCACTCCCAGTCCTGCCAGAAAGGAAAGGGCGTGCTCAAAATACTTCAGGCCTTGCCCTTGCTTATTGTTTTTGGAAAGGCTTTTGTTTTCTTCTTTTGGCTTTGGGGTTTTTTTGTTGGTTTTGTTTGGTTGGGGCTTTTTTTTGTTCAACCCGCTAGTTAATGTTCATTTGGGCTGGGCACAATAAAAGCCTGAGCCTGTCAGTTTATATCACACGAGGGGAGGAGCAGTTGGTGATGTTTGAAATATTTTAGACTTTAGAAAAATTCTTGTAGGTGTATTTGCTGTGTTAAAAAAATGGATTACTCCTAGTAGTTTATAAATAAATTGATGTCTCCTAGCAGTTTATAAATATATACATATATAAAAATATATATATAGAAATATATTCCCATATATTCTTTTAATGTGCTTTGATATGTATATAAGAATGAGGTTATGCTAAATAAAAGCCTCCTAAAACTTGAAAAGGGGGAATCCCAGGCACTGCAGACCTCCCCAGCCCCACCTTGTTGGGTACAGGCACCCATATGGTTATTAGGGAATGGCAGGAGCTGGCCGTGACCTGGCAGTGGCTCACACCACTCTGCCTTTAATTTTGAGAGTGGTTCTGTGTATTCCAACGGCAAACGTGCACACACAAACATCCATCACATTTTTGGCTTTGCTGCCTCTGTAGGCAGGCAGGAGGGGAAAATTGTATTCACGGGCCATGAAATGAATTTAAAACAAAAATCAGAGAAATAAAAAGTGAAGTTTTTTATTATTTTGGCAAGCACTGGGGTTTATTTTTCACTTACTTGTTGGGCTGGGTTTTTTTCCCCTGTTTCCTAGACGTACTGGACAGACTTGCACTGTGCATAATTGCATGGGCAGAGTCTGGAGAGCTTTCCAAACACATGATGTTTATACCTCATGCTCACACTGGCTATTTTTAAATATGGCTACTTTCTGCTGCATTTTCACAGCCTCTCCCAACACCTCATGCAGTCTGGAGCACTCTCACCTGTTTACACCACCACCGAGTGCTGGCGAATTCAAAACAAAAACATCTGATAAAAATCAAATATTATGTTGCTAACTGCCAAGTTCATTTCCCCTCAGAAGTCCGTCTTTAATTATAAAACCCGCATAACCCATTTCCTTTGGTGTGCAGAAAGGTGTGTAATTAAACTATCAGCATAATACCTTTCTACATGTAAAACCTGCACTTATGAACTTTAACTGCTGAATAAAAACTCCTATTACATGACCATTAAGTATTATGAATAAAGCTAGTCATTGTAGTACTTGATTAATTTTTATGCACTAACCATTGTGTTCTGCACAAATTTGGTTTCTTTGGTTTCTTTTTTTGGTAGGTGCCCCTTCTCTCAGCCATCCTGGTGGATCAGTCATCTCCACCCACGTCTAAGGTTGTCCTCCATCCCTCCATGCTGTTCTCCTGCCTGTGGCCATGCCCAAGTCTGTGTGGCCTTTCTGTGGTCATCATGGAGAAGGAGTGAGTTTTGCTCTGTCTCTGTGATATCCCCAGTGGAATCACAAAGTGATTCACTGGAATCACCCAGTGGTGCTGTGGCCAGTGAAAGGAGCACAAGGTGGCAGTGGGACCAGGTTCTTTCTGTGGGAGAACTTGGTGCAGGGCTGAGCCCTGACTTCCTTGTCTCATCTCTGAATGGGCTGGGGAGTTACTCTCAGCTGGGTGGTTTTTTTTTAACTAATAAGGGAAGTCAGATTTGTCTTCTTTCATGTGGATGTGGCAGCAGACCCTCAGAGGACAGCCTTTCCATGCTGCTCGTGCTCCTGTTTATAGGACCCCAGAAGCTTTGCCTCGTATCAGTTCCTCCGTCCCTGGTCCTCCCAAAAATGTCTCCACCAATATCAACCTCTTGCCAAGTGAAGTGGGAAAGGAAAAATAAATATCCCAGCTAAAACCTGTAACTCCAAAACCCTAATTGTCAGCAGGACCGAGTATTGCCAAGATGCTGAGGAGGATTCTGTGGTGCTGGTGCTGGCTGCCAAGGAGCCTGCACTCCACAGCCCACAGGACATCTCCAGGACACCTCCCACCCTATGTGCAAACATTCAGGCCCCCGAGCCATTATTCATCAGCTCCTTGCAGCCACACTCCCGAATGCTGCCTGATGATTATATTGAGACTGATCTTTGAAGTCTGGAGTCAGGAAGTTTAGCTCAGTTATAATCAATAGCATTTCCAGCTCTTGGAAATCTGCACTAAGCACTCAAGGCAGCCAGCCCGCATTATGTCCTTGTCATATGTATATATTTGCATGTTCATTAGCCATGTAGTAGCACAGCTGTATGTGGTTTCATTTAGCTTTTAATTATCTTCTTTGGGTTAGTGTTTTCATCTCTACCAGACTTAGCAAAGAAAAGAAAATCACTTAGGCAAAATAAATGCTGCTGAGCAGGTCTGGGGCAAAGAGTGCTATTTCCTTGTGCATCCTACTGTTCCATTGCAAAAGAGGTATTTGGTTCAAAAGTTCCAACTTACATTAATAATAAATCCGTCTCTTCATTTCCCCCATCATTTGCTTATCTTATTCAGGTGGTTGTGGGTGTAATTTTTCATTTGCAGCAGGTGGTTTTTTACATATTAGATAAACTCCATCCTTACAATCCTTGGCATGGATGTTTGTGTTTGCTCCAACAGCTGCTGCTCCAAAGCTCGCTCGCACACAGATCAAGGCATCCTCCTCTTTCGATGGAAGTGACTCATACCTCAGATGAGCTGAAAAAAAATACCACGGTCAGCTGCAGACACCTGCATTCATGCTCTGGGTCTAAAAGTTAGGATGTGGGTTTGAGCTAATTTTGTGCTCTTCGGGTTCTTATACGATACCCTTTATTTTGGTTTCTGAGAAATTTCCATTAGTAAGAACAAAACAAGGTGACTAATTTCTGTGCTGAACTTTCTTCTCCTTTCCTCCCACCCCACCCAATAAACAAAGAAAAAAAAGAAGTGATTTATTTCATTCACTTCAATTACTTGTAACAAGGCCAGCCCCCAGGGTCAAAGGCTCAGAGGTCATCTTTGGTTTAACAAGCAATGAGGTTATCTGTGCAGACTGGGGTCGGATGCTGAGTCCCTCCTCCTCAATGCTCCTGTCCCTTGTGTGTACAGCACCAAGGCCTCGAGGAAGTGTTGATGGAGAGGCCAATCTTATTTCACAGGAGTGACAATGAGAACTGACCTTTTAAATATGCAGTGACTTGAGAGCAGCTGTGGCAAGGAGTGAAGGATGGTGCTGCAGGAGTGCTGCTCACAGAGCTTCAGCCAAATGCAGCCGAGTGCTCTTGGTACCATGGGATGGATGCTTCCATGGAACTGCCTGTCATGCTCCAACCACAACACAATCTCAGCTCTGCTGTCTGAAATTAGAGATTTCTTTTTATTTTTTTTTTCTCTTACAAACGTAGTGGAGTAGAAACACAGACATGGCAAGAACCTGGAAGTCCTCCACTGCTGGCTGTGTCACAGGGCTGTGGGTTTCTCCTTGGCTGCTGGAGGATAGCACTGGTCTGCTGCAGGGGCAGCACCACTGACTGATCAGGTGTGATCACTTTGTGCTCTTTAAAAGACCCCCTTGAATCAGCTCAGGGCAAAAGTCACCAGTTTAAAAATGCCCACTATACAGGTATATTAGTCCACCTTCATCCTTACCGTAGAGGTGATCTCTAACAGCTTCTCATTGTTGAACAAAACACTTATCAGGTGGATGAGCTAAACCAAGACCTACCTGGCTCTTTCAGTAGTGGTTGCTGGCATTTTACTGCCTTTCACAGTTTTTTCCTTCTTGGTTGAAGGAGTGAGATACACTCGGTGCTGATGGAAGGAGGCACAACTTCACTGGAGCTGACAGTTCTGCTTTCCTGTTACACCAGTGGTTTATTTGGAGAGGAATTCCCAAGTGTTTGTTGGGGAATTGAAGCCAGGCACCTGGGTCCAGATGGTGTCTTATCAAAGGGTGATAATTGTTCATGAATTAGACTCCTCTGCATCACCTTCCTCTCACAAACCCAGAGTGATGTCTGGAGTTGGCCTTTGCTTGCATTTCAGGAGCTCTCCTGTAGCAAGCAAAATATATTTTTATAGTTTGCTTACCTTGACACTTCCAACATTTTCCCAGCAAGCTGAAGGTGTAATTAAATGACATGCCAGATGCTGGTGTGCTTTATATTATACCACCTCTCAGCTGGGCTAGCGAAAGGGAATGAATGGAGTCTTAAGACAGCTCTCCTATAGATAGTTATTATCTCTTTTCAATAAAGAATGGGTAAGGTTGAGCAGAATGTCAGTAAACCTGTAATTTTCTAGCCTTTCAGTTACCTCTGTTCTTCTGATCCACCAGTGATGTGAAGTTTTGTTGTACTTTGTTCCATCAATTATGGCATCACTCCAAGAAGGTGGCGGGCTCCTGCGTCGCATATGCATATTTATGATAAGGTATGTTCTGCTCTTCCTGTTGTGCCTGAAACCAGGTGTTCTGGGCCTTTTGAGGTGGGTTTGCAGAACAGCCTCTTTTGGGCAACAAAGCTGTTGGGGCAAAGCTTTTTAGCTCTAGGCTGAAAAAACAAAAGCTTGCTGGGAAAAATGACAGCAAAGGTTCATAACTTCAAACTTAAAGAAACAACATTATTTTTGTAACTTTAATAATAGGATTTCTAGAATGCATTTGCTTATTTCAATGTATCTGCTACCTCAGAAGATGGATCTGGTGTATCTCTTGGCTGTTGCACTCATGTTTTAAACTATACAGTTTTCAGCTTTGCAGGACACCAGCCCAGTTTTCAGGGAGATAAGATGTTGGCTGACACAAAACAAACTTGCCAGTGAGATTTATTTACTTACTTGGAAGTGGAAATGTTGTTTTAATAATCCAGCCAGCCCAGGAGTGGAGGTGTTGAACATTCTCATGGCTGGCCTGGAGAAGGGTTTGCTGTAGTATGGTGTGGTCCTCCCTCTGCCAGAGAAGTGTGCTCTGCATGGAGGGCAGGCAGACCAGCCAGGGAAGGAGAGAACTGCAGGAGCAAGGACTGTTTTTCTTTCCCAAACTTTGACAATTCTTCATCTAGATGTTTATATTTATCAAGAGCATGTGAGACATAATGTTTTAAGACCAATATTTTTAACGGGTTGGTGACTCCTGGTTGTCTGGGGAGTCAATGACACTGGCCAGCCCCAGCTCACAGAGCACTAAGTCCACAGGCAGCCAGCAAGGTTCTCCTCTGCTCTTTTGGGGTGAGATGTTCCATTTGACAGAAGAAAGCAGCAGCCTGAAACTTTCACATGCTGTCAGTTCTGTGAGTGCAAGGCACCTCTTTCAGAAGTGAGGTGTGCTCATAATTAAAGATTAATTTACTAGCACTAAACCCAAAGCTTTCCTCAAAGTCTACTGTCAACACACACGCTCCTTTTCAGTGACATTTGCATTTCTAATTGGGACTGCTTATTACCAGAAAGCCTCTGCAGCTGAGATTTACTTTTGTATATTTGCTGGTTGCTCTCTTCAACCAGTGCTCAGCAACTGATATCACCCAGTCTCTCTTGTAGGGTGTGTGTGCCTCTGAGTGGGCACAACTTCACCCTACCAGATGGGCAGGAGCACGGGCATGTCAGGATACCACTGTGTGCCTCAAGAAGATGCCTTGTCAGTGAGAAATGCTGGAAAGCTCAGTCTACATAAAGCAGCCAGACATTTACAGGAGCAAGATCAGAAATAGAGAAGGCCAACACTCTGCTTTTGTGCCATGGCTAATGTTTTCTCTGTTCTTCCAAACTGGAATATTTCTACTTCAGAAGATACATTCAGACTTAGAAATCTTAACAGAGATGTGAATCACTTGCCTTCTCTAACTGACTGATTGGTATTTTTTCTTTTTTCCTGGAAGAACTGATATTAAGAACTCTATTTAACAAGTTGTGGCACGACTTTTATGCCCTTATGAATGGGAAATGATTAAGGAGTGGGCTTCCATGGCATGGTGCTCCCCATTCCTACTTCCTGCTTTGGGGCCGGTATCAAAATCCAAGGGCAAAGTCCCGTACACACCATGAAAGAGACTGCCTGCCCAGAAGAGATTGCTGCTGGAATAGACAGGAAAGAAAGGAAATATTATTATTCCTCTTTAACAGATGGGAAACCAAGGCGCAGAGAGTTGAAGAGGCTTGCCAAAAGTCAGACAGAAATCTGAAAACAGCCAGGAACCAAATCCAGGTCTGCTGAGACTCAGGCCAGTGCCTTAATCACTCGACTCCTCATAGTTATTATATTTCTGCAGTTGTTATTCACTAGGATAGACTATGAAATTTCTGCCTCCAACTATAGCTACAGTGCTCCTACAGCATCTTATACCCTCCATGTAATTCTTCTCCTTTTTTTCCCCCTTGCATGTGTCAAAAAGTGCCTCTCCTCCTACTCCTGCTTGTGAAGATGTAGAAAGTGCTGTAGTTGTCTGCAGAACCTTCACAGGGCTGCTGTGAAAACCTCCCAAACTGAGATGCTCAGTCCCCTGGAAAGGAAGAATTTGTAGGTACTCCCACACGTTCCAGCCCAAAGCTTGGCCACAGACCCCTGCACACAGCTCAGGGCTGGAGGAGTTTAAGCAAAGAGCTTATGCAAATCCTCTCCTATCCATCATGGAGGGGAGTCCTTCATACTTCAGGAATGATGGGAGAAACAATCTATCGATATTCCGTAATGAGCATAAATGCCCTTTATAAATTGTTTCCCTTTTATTGACTCTAAAGCAAATGTAGCCATGAATGCTGTACATTAATACATTTTATACCTTCTAATGGTTTGATGGCCTCATATATCCAGTAACGCTGAGAATAATCATTAGATTGTAAGGAGTGCAAAATATGTTTTATCACTTGAAAATGGAATTCCTTCTTGAAAGGTAAAACCAGTGGTAGATCATTGATTTGAAAGGTCAGGGTTAAAAAGCTTATTAACGACTGGGTTAAGCTCTAGTAAAATTCTTTGTTTTACTCAGCTGTATGAAGCATTTAGCTAAGTGAGACTCTTCATTAGGACATTAGTGCTTTTATACTAGCTATGTTAGGTAAGAATCAGTAATTTCCAGCTTATGTTCAGGAAAAAGGCATTGCAAGTGGCACACGCTCCAAATAACCCCAGGTGAGACGTGGTCATGGATGCAATGGAAAAACAACTGCTGCAGCATCCAGGGGTGTGTGCAATCCCTGCCTCTCCCTGTCCTGGGTGGGGACCCCCAAGCAAGCCTTGGCCAGGCAGATTTATCAGGTTATCAGATGTATCAGGTTATGATGTATCAGCAGAGGACCAGGCAGAAATGCTGGTTTGGGTTCCAGAATCCACACAGTTGTGTCAGGATGCCACAGTGCAGAGTCAGTGAGCCCCAACTCCCTGCAGGGCTCTGGATTAGCTAAAGTATGAGTTTCACAGGGCTGCAATGCTTCCTGCCTCTGAGACAGGGAGTTTCTGCCCAGGGAAAATGTGCCTGTCCCTCTCACCGCTCCCTAATGCCACAGCACATGGAGAAAGGCTCTGTATTTTGGGTACACCAACAATGCCAGCTCAAGCTCATTGTGATTGCCCTCTGTCCCTCTCAGCCATCAAAGAAGCAGAGAGACAGATCCCAGAAGCAAGGCAGGGTGGGACCATGGCCAGGGATGATGCTCGAGAGTGATGCGAATTTTTGGGATCACATGGGAAATGTGGGTATTTCAAGGCACACATGAGCAGAAATGTTCATGCCAGATGAAAATAAGAAAGGTGGTTGCCCAGCCTCACACTGTGCTGACACAGCTCCCTTCTCAAAAAGAAGTGGAAATAATTAGGAAGAAATTCTGACCTGTGAGGGTGGTGAGAACCAAGCACAGATTACCCAGAGAAGCTGTGGCTGCTCCATCCTGGAAGTATTCAAAGCCAGGTCAGGTGGGGCTTGGATCAGCCTGGTCTAGTGGAAAGGTTCCCTGCACATGGCAGAGGGGTTGGAATAAAAGAGGCTCAATCTGGAAAGAGAAGAAAAAAATTAAATCCCTGTAAGGATCATTAATCACTAGCAGGTTTTCCAAATATGTCATGGGATCCCTGAACCTGGATGTGTTCAAGACCTGAGGGGTCACAACCCAAAGCACAGCTGTCACCAGCCCCTCAGGAAATGTTCTCTAAAATCCCACAATAGAAAGCAGTGCCAGTGGAAAACGTAGCAAAGATTTCCAAAGATGCTACAGCTTCCAAAAGCTGCAATGTCAAAACCACTTTTTGGTTTCATCAGTTCAGCATTTCCACAGACATTTATTTTGGATAGAATAGATTAAATCTAGTTGGAAGAGACCTACCAGGATCATCAAGTCCACTTCAGTGCTGACTAAAAGTTAAAGCCTCTTAATGACACCATTGCCTGTTTGTAAGGTGCTGACCAACCTGGGGCATTGACCACCTCTCTTGGAAGATGGTTCCACTCTTCCTCTTGAAGGGTCATGAAGATTATTCTTTTGCCAATATCATCTTCTTACACTTGTCCTCATCATTTGCTACTTGTTTCTAACAAAATAAAAAAAAAAAAAAAAAAGAAAACCTAAAGACCTAAAAAAGCCTAAAACTCTGCCATAGCATATTAAGAAGGATTTTTAATGTTTTTAATGGAACAAAATAACAATACAGAATATAATATCCACAGCATGTGCTTGGTGCAATGTAATTGCTCTGGGATACTCAATTCTTTTCATATAAAGCAGCCCTACCAACCCAACCATCGAAACAACTCTAATATTTTATAGTGAAATTAAACTGCAGATTAAAACAGATGGTTCGAACATTTCATTACCAGCTATGGTGCTTATTTGCTGACCATTGGCTGGTATATGTAAACATATAAAAAGCAAAAGAGCCCTTGGATACAAACCATACTCTCCTTCAGCTTTCCATTCATGGTTACAGCATGGTTATGAATGTTATGGATCCAGACAGGGTCTTTAAATGTGCTGAATTCAATTTACTTGTACCGATGAAAGGAAGAGGTCATGGAAAGTGCAGAATGGGTGGGAAGAGTATAAAATATTTGTTAACTGTCCTGCCAATACATTTCAGTTCACAGCTAGGCAGGTCCAGAGCCTTCTGCACCCTGGCACCAGGCTTCTGCCAGGACACCTTGCACTATTCCAGGGTGCTCCAAACCCTGCCCAACCTGGCCTTCAACACCTCCAGAGACAGAGCAGCCACAGCTTCTCTGGGTAACCTGTGCCAGGGCCTCACCACCCTCACAGCGAAGCATTTCTTCCTAATATCTAATCTAAACCTACTGTCCATCAGTTTGAAGCCATTCCCCTCTGTCCTATCACTCCAGGCCTTTGAAAATAGTCTCTCCTTCTAAGACCAAAATTAGGTGACCCCAGAGTCTTCTCTTGTTCAGGTTGAACCATCCCAATTCTCTCAGCCTTTCCTCAGAGCAGAACTGTTCCATCCCTATAAAACCAATTTGGTGCCTGCACTGGACTCACCCCAGCAGGTCCCAAAGGTTGTCTCTGTTCCTTGTTCCTGGGAAGCACAGACCTGTCTGGCAGCTTCTGACAGAGAGGGCAGCACCACCAGCCCACCAAAAATCCTGTCCTCACTGAATGAGTTAACTCTGCCTTCAGAGCCATTAAATAAAACCTTCACAATTACAGCAAGTATTTCCCCATGCTTTCAATGTACCAGCTGCACTCAGCAATGTTGCCCCAGGTATTTAATTTTTCAGATATTGTCAAACAAACAGAAATCTACTCTAAAAATAATTACGAACAAATCTATAAATGTATTTAGCTTTGGCAGAACTGAAGTGAATAGATGTTTCTTAAAAGTGTAGAAGCCATGCCTTCAGATGTTTTCCATGCTGGTTTACTGCTGGGTTGGTGAAAATGTAAGGTTTTCAGGGAGCACGAGGATGAGCCAAGGATATTCTGTTCTACCTCCACTGCATGATGCAGTAGCATATTAGCACCCAGCAAGAACACCACATGGGCATTACAACCTAAGGACTAGGATAGGACACATATCTCCTTTGCTGACAGTATGTACAACAATCCCAGTCAGGATTTCATTCCAAAAGAGTAAAGTCTGAATGAGCCTGGGCATCTGCTGCCCAAAAGATCGAAAAAGAGGTATGTGTTTGCACAGCTTTAGGGAAAAAAAAATAAATCTCTGGTCCTAAGAGTCTTGCAACACTCTTGGATAGCTGCAAAAACCGGAAAGGTTCTGGGGGTAGATACAGTCAGCAAAGCAAACAAATAGAAATCATCATTAAATTTGCCCTCACTCTCCCGGTTCAGTGTTGGAGCTTCTTGAGGCTTTTATGTATTTGAGATCTAACCAGAACTTCCAGCTATGAGGGCAACATCTTTTCTTGACTGGTACTTCACTGGGCTTGCTGGGAGCACTGGTCACAGCACTGCTCCTGCTCAGTCACTGATCAAGGGTGAATTACCCCAGATCCTGGGAATAATGGACATCAATCACACAGGACAGTGCAGGGCCTCATTTCCTGCACAGGGGCTGAAACCATGAAACAATGATGTGCAAAGACACATTCACAGGTGTCCACATCTGCTTCCCAATTTAAACCTTAAACTCTGGTTCTACAGGGGCTTTAAGGAAACGATCATCCAGAGAGGAAAGTACAGGGGAAGGCATTAGAGGCAGAGAATCACCTCCTTGTGACACTGTTCTTTCAGGATCATAGCAGCATCTTCAGACACATAATCCTTGATCCCTGTGTGTTAGAGATACCATGCAGAAAAGTTTTCTCAAAGAATAGCATATTGTTGACAACAAACTAGAAGAGCTATTTAAAAATAAAATACTGTACAATGCATGCTTAAAAGTGTAAAAAAAAAAAAAAAAAAATTTGTATTTTAAAAATCAGTATTTATCAATAGTCCCAGCTATAACTGGGGATTCACAGCATGGATGCTGAAAGAATGGAGACAGCATGGTAATGAAAAAAGCGTATCCATCATCAACAATACAATACTTACTGTGACCTAAGGTCAGGTTTGTACAGTTACACCAGATGTTAGATTTCAGCCGTTCTTTGAAATGAAGAAACACAATGGTTACTATTCCTGTAGTGTTGTGGATTTCATTAAACAACACGTTTATCTTTCAGCTTTAAAATGTAGAGCAAGATTAGGATATTCTAACATTTAGGTTTCAGAAGGATCCAGTAAGCATAATATAAAGTAGGGGGGTGGCACTATAAAAGAATTACTATTTTGAATGCAACAGCCAGATCTTTCCTGTGGCAAAACTGAGAGGCAGCAAAGGGAAGGGTGAAAGAAGCAGATGCAGTAAATAGCTCTAATGGTGTGGCTGTTTATAAATCAGCCCAGGACAGGGGGCTGGGGATGCCCTGCCCTCTGACACTGCGAGAGCAACTGTGACTCTGAACAG